AGCTCGACCTCGCCCCTCCTCCACCTCAGCCGAGGGAATGCCCAGCGCCTCCCTCCCCCCCTTCTTCTTCGCTTCCCTCCTCTCCTAATCTCCCCGCCTTCCCCCCCCCCCGGGGGGAGGGGGCGAGTACCCCGTTTTCACGGCATCTCGACTACCCCGAGGCGGACCGACCAAAGTGGGAGGGGGGTAGGTAGGTAACCTGCTGGCGGGTGGCGGTACGTACCACCACGCCCTCGCCGCCCGTCCCCGTTGCGTTCCCCCCCCCTCCTCTACGCCATCCGCCATTCCCCTCTTCACGTGGGGCTCCTCTGATAGAAAAGGGAGGGGGAGGAATTCTTCCTCCATCCAAAACATTCGCCCGAGCCAGCTGCCGCTCTGCCCACCTCCTCCATCTCTCCATTGCCTCGATCCCACATCCTCCTCATCCTCCTCCTCTCCACCATCTCCCTCTTTCTCTCGGCATACACAGAAGCTCTTGTGCGCTGAGCTAACAGATTCTGGTGCTACGCATGTGTTGCGTGTTGCTGTGATGCACAGGGACTACATCACCCCGCTTCCGTGGGGCCACCAGTACCAGCAGCCGGCGCCGTACCAGCAGCCGCCGCCCTATGGCGCTCCTGGCTACGGGTACCCGCCCATGCCCATGCCCATGCCGGGCATGCACGGCCACGGCATGCCTCCACCCCATCACCACCACCACCACCACGGCGGCGGTGGCTACTAGTAGCCATGTAAAGCCGGCCAGCCCGCCAGCCCGCCGTTTGCATTCGGCAGTCAGGTTTGCACCACCAGCCCGTTGTTTCTATCCTCCTCCTCCTCCTCCTCCTCCTCCGGCCGGGCTGCTGGCCGCCCTGTGGCCCTCCCTCGCTGCTGCTTGGTGGCAAAAGAACAGTCGGCGAGCTGCGTTACGTCTTTTCCCCTCTTTTCTTTTCTCTTTTTCTTTTGGCGGTGCACGGGCGCCCGTGCCTCTTTGGGCACCAACACAAAAGGTGAAAGTCAGACAGTCTCAACAGAGAGAAGAGAGACGGAAGGCAGGGAGTTACTAAGAATAAGAATAAGCTCATCACCACACACCACTCCTTCGCCCCCACCATGTTCCTGGGAGAGGCACGTCGCGCCAAGATGCGGCGGGAGACGGGGGAGACGCGAAGGTCGGGCAAGTCGAAGCACAAGCACAACCAGCAGGGTCCCTACCCGTCCTCCTCCTCGTCATCGTCGGGCAAGTCGCATCGGGGCGGCAGCGGAATCTCCAACGCGTCGACCACCTCCACCGAGGACTATTGCTCGCCGGACTCGTCCCCCCACGGCAGCGGCATCTCGGCCTACGAAGGGTCTGGTCCCTTCTGCGCCATAGACGAATTCCTGCCCGCTGCCTCCTCTGCCATGGCCACCGCCACGAGGCCTCCCCCGGCCGACACCCGCACCCTCGCCCGGTCGGGCGGCATGGCCGCACGCGCTCCCATCTACCTGGACTACAACGCCACCACACCCATCAGCCGCGAAGTTGCCGACGTCATGCGGCCCTTCCTGGACCACTTCTTTGGCAATCCCTCCAGGTGATTTTCCACATCTTAATGCTGCGGCACTTTTGGATTGGCTCTGGTGCCTTTTTCTCACGTCCTACATGCACGGTGGTTGTATCGCGCAGTGGTCATCTATTTGGCGCCTCCACCAAGAAGGCAGTGGAAGCTGCCCGCCTGCAGGTCCCTCCCTTCCCACTACTATTTCAAATAATAGCTCCTCCCCGCTCCCCCCCCCAATGTGGTTGGGTAGTGGACGCTCACCCGCCCACCGCACGCACAGGTGGCGGAGGCGTTGGGCTGTGGCGTCGACGAAATCGTCTTCACGTCGGGTGGCACCGAGTCGAACAACTACGCCATCAAGGTGCACACCGCACCACCACCACACCTCCTCCTCCTCCCCCCCCCACTCCATTCATCCATTCATCCAACACGGCGTGTTCTGTTGTTCTCTCTCTCTCTCTCTCTCTTCTGCGTCGTCCAGGGCTATGCGCTGCAGCACAAGCACAAGGGACGGCACATCATCACCTCGGCCGTGGAGCATCCCGCCGTGGAGGAGGTCGTCAAGTACGCCACCGCCACCGGCCACCGGCCAGCACCCCGCGCACGCGCCAGCATCATGAGTGCTGGCCGGTGGTGGTGGTACTGAAAGCCCCGGGTGGGCGGTCCCTTTCTCGTGTCGTGCAGGTACTTGGAGCGGGAGGAGGACTTTTATGTGACGCGCCTGCCCGTCAACGAAGAGGGCCTCGTGTCCCTCCAGGATCTCGAGGTGCGCCCTTTGCTTCTCTCTCTCTCTCCTCCCCCCCCTCCGATAGCGTGCGGCAAAATGTTCACGGGTGGCTGGTGGTGGACGGGTGCGCGTGTGTGTGTGTGTTGTGTTGTCGTGTGTGTGGCGGGGGACAGGAGGCCATCCGTGCCGACACCATCCTCGTGACGATCATGCACGCCAACAACGAGGTGGGTACCCTCATGCCCATCAAGGAAATTGTCGACATCGTGCGCCAGAAGGCCGGCGCCCGTACGCTAGGCCCCCCTCCACCACTTCCACCTGCAGCACCTGCAGCACCTCCCATCATCCCACGGGAGGCCCGTGCCGCATATCGCGACTGCCGGCCTATTAATCGTCCTACCGTGTGTGCTCCTCTCCCTCTCCCTCCGCCGCCGCCGCCGCCGCCGCCGCCGCCATGACCAGGAATTGCGGTGCACACGGATGCGGCGCAGAGCATCGGCAAGGTGCGGGTGCGAGTGGACGAGATGGGAGTCGACATGCTGTCCGTGTGCGCACACAAGCTCTACGCACCCAAAGGCACGCGCACGGCCCTTCTCCCCTCCAATCCGTCGGTGGCTGCCAGGGTGCAGGTCACCTGTCACCTAACGTGGCGCCGCCTACCGTCGCGCGTGTTGCCAGGCGTGGGCGCACTCTATGTGCGGCGCGGGGTGGAGCTGAAGAAGCTCATGCACGGCGCCGATCACGAAGCGGGCCGGCGGCCTGGCACCGAGGTATTGCCCGCTGTCCTCCCAAAACACCACACATTGCCCTCCTCCTCCTCCTCCTTTCTCGTGTCCCCCCCCGCGCAGATGGGATCACTCACTCGAGTGTTGTGACACCACACACACACACACACACACCACACGCGCTAACACTTGGAATGGCTGACGACGACGCAGAACACGCTGCTGGTTCCCGGCCTCGGGATGGCGTGCACGATTTGCGCGCGTGATCTAAACAGGAATAGCCAGCACATGAAGGAGCTGCGCGACCGCCTCCAAGCGAACCTCACCGAGGCCTGCAAGGCTCTCGGTACATGCATACCTACCTCGCACGCACGCACGCACGCACGCACGCACACCCACATCACACCCATACCTCCATTACGGGTCCCATTATTATTTTTGCTCTCCAGCGGTGAACTCCTGACGTTGTTGTCGTTGGTTGGTTGGTTGGTTGGTTGGTTGGTTGGTTGGTTGGTTGGTTGGTTGGTTGGTTGTCTGGGCGGGCACAGGCCTGGAAACGCGGGTCAATGGCCCCAAGGACGACTCCAAGCGCCTGCCCAACACACTTAGCATTTCATTCAGGGTTCCCTCCCCCCCCTCTCCTTCTGCCACACGAGGGCATTACAGCAGCCAGCCAGTCACCACCCCTGAATAACCCGTCCCGTGGGGGTGGGGGGTATTGCGTGGGTGGGTGAGCAGGGCATCGAGGCCAATGCGCTCCTGTCTGAGATCCACGCCCAGGTGGCGGCATCGGCAGGTATATATACATATATATATATATATATCTATTTATATGGACTACTCCCCATCCCCCCCATTTCCTGGGTCCCTCCGTCGGGGGAGCGTTGCCGTCTTATCCTCTCTCGCTCTCTTTCGTGCCTCATCGTCCCCCTCTCCCCCCTCCCCCTCGGCATCATAGGCGCGGCGTGCCACAGCGAGAGCATCACAGTGTCGCCCGTGCTAACGGCCATGCGCGTACCCATGGAGTAACTAGCCATCCCCTGCCGCCGCCGCCGCCGCCGCGAGTGTAGATCCGGAGCAACAAGTATAGCCGCACTCATCACGCTGCTGTCGTGTCGTGTGTGCGCCTCAGATTCGCCATGGGCACGGTCAGGTTCAGCACGGGACGAGAGACCACGGGAGAGGAGATCGAGGAGGCGTCGAGCGTGATCCTGCACGCCCTCTATCGACTGCGGCCGTCGGGTAACCCCCCCACCACCACGCGCCTCCCTCCCTGGCGCGCCCCTTTGCTTTGCCAACCAATTACCTTTCTCATCCCTCGCTTCCCTCCCCTCCCGCGTGTAGCCGAAGACGCGAGGGACCTGGAGGCCGACGGCGAAGCTGAGGTGGACAAGGTCCGCCTCACTGAATTCACCTCTGGCCTGGTACGCACGCCCACCTCCCCGCGACAGACCCAGCCCACGCCCACGCCCACGCCCACGCCCACGCCCACGCCCACGCCCACGCCCACGCCCACGCCCACGCCCACGCCCACGCCCACGCCCACGCCCACGCCCACGCCCACGCCCACGCCCACGCCCACGCCCAACGATGAATGGATGGTGGCGGCGGGCGCACAGGGTTGCGGATGTAAGCTGTCGCCCGCTCGCTTGGCCGAGATCCTCAAGTCCCTGCCCCTGTCGCACGACAAGAACGTGCTCGTGGGATCCGACACCTCCGACGACGCCGCCGTCTACCGGCTCACCCCCGTACGCACCTCCCCCCATCTACATCCGCCCATTCCCCTCCCACGCCTCCTCTAGGGGCGCGCGGCATACGTTCTTCTTGTTGCTCTTCTTGTTCTTGTTGTTGTTGCTCTTCTTCTTGGCTGGTGTGTCATGACACTCGTCGCGGTGATCATTGCCTCATGCAGGACATCGCCGTGGTGAGCACCCTGGATTTCTTCACGCCCGTGGTGGATGACCCCTACACTTTCGGCCAGATTGCCGCCGCCAACGCCCTCTCGGATGTACGTGGCCGCCCGGCTCCCCGTGAGGACGTCAGGCTCGTCCCGCCGCCGTGCAATCCTCGGCACCGCGTGGTTGCTTACGCCCGCGCGTGGGTGGCATTGGGCTTGCGGCCAACAGGTCTACGCCATGGGCGGCACCCCCCTGTTTGCTCTCAACATCGTGGCATTCCCCTCCACGCGCCTGCCCATGGGCGTGCTACAGCGCATCCTGCAAGGGTCCGGCCCCTCCCCCCCATTAGCTAAGGGGTGGTTCGTGAGCAGACCTGGTGACTGATTCGAGGCGCGCGCGTCACCACAATACACACACCACTCACACACACACACACGCACCGTCTGCTGCGCTGTACGCACAGGGCGCAGGCCAAGGCAGAGGAGGCCGGAGTGCGCGTGGTGGGCGGGCATTCGATCGACGACAACGAACCCAAGTTCGGGATGGCCGTGACGGGCGTGGTGCACCCCACCAAGGTAGGTGTTGGAGCGGGCGTGTGGTTCTGCCAATCCTGGGTGGTGGTGGTGGTGGTGGCCGGCGGCGATTGGAAGGCGTATTCTGACCGGATGCGCGGCGCACCGCAGGTGTTGCGAAACGTGGGCGCCCAGGTCGGGGACGACCTGCTGCTGACCAAGCCCATCGGGACGGGCATCATCACCACCGCCCTCAAGCGCGGCCTGGTCGATCATAAGGCACCCCCCGCTCCTCGCTAGTTTATGTGTGGCAGCGTGTGTCGGGTGTCGCAAGTGCGCCGCCATCCCACCGCCGTGGCAAGTAACCGTTGGGCCAACGTGTTCCGTCTCTCTCTCTCTCTCTCTCTCTTTGTGTGTGTCGTGTGTGTCGTGTGTGTCGCGTGTGTGTGCGTGTGTGTCGTGTGTGAACCGAGCAGGAGATAGAGATGGCAGCCATACGGACCATGACGACCCTGAACGACAAACCGCTCACGGCCATTCGAGAAGTGGGGTCCGTGCACGCCCTCACCGATGTCACGGGCACGTCACCGCTCCCCCTCCTGCTCCTGCTCCTGCTCCTTCCTCCCCTCCCCCAATGCCGTGGACGGGAGAGCGACACGGTAGGGCGTCGCTCAGTCTTACCCCCCCCCAAATCCATTCGGGTACCACGCCAGGCTTTGGGCTGCTGGGACACCTCCGGGAGATGGCCGAGGGCAGCGAAGTGGACGTCGAGGTACGACGCTGCTGGCGGCGCGTAGGGCTGGGTCGACCCGAGCACCTACCACGCTGGTGGTGGCGCCGCTGGTGGTGGTGGCTGGTGGTGGTTGTTGCGGAACCCTGTTACTGAGCTCGCACGTGCACAGGTGTGGCTAGACCGGGTGCCGATGATGCGCGGCGCGTTTGAGTTTGCTGCAGCGGGCGTGGTACCCGGCGGTACGCTTCGCGCCCGCCACAGCACACCACGGCACAGCACACCAGCAGCCACCAGCAGCCACCAGCCAACAAAATTGGAGGGGGCTCTTTGTGGGGTGGGTGCCTCATCGTCTGTACTGATCGGGGGCGGGGGCGGGGGCGGGGGCTGGGGCTGGGTGGGTGCTGCAGGTACCAAGGCGAACCTGGAGTACCTCGCGCCCGTGGTGAATTGGGCCGAGGGCATAGGCACCGTGGGCAAGCACCTCCTGGTAAGCAGCACACATCCCAGGGCTATCCTTTCTCATCCCCATTCCCCCCCCCGTTGGTTGGCTGGCTGGTTGGTTGGTTGGTTGGTTGTGTTGAGACCGCGGGGGGGGGTGCTGTACAGTGTGATGCGCAGACCTCGGGCGGGCTGCTCATCGCCATTTCGCCCGACGCCACTGCCGACCTCATCCACAGGCTCGCGTACGCCGACCTACCCTCCCCCCTTTTTTCCCCTTTTTGCCGGTCCCTACCTGGTGGAATGCCCCAGACCCGCCAAATATATACTCACGGTGTGTGTGGTGTGTGGTGTGTGGCTGGTGGCGGCCAGTTCTCTGGGGGTGGAGTGCGCCGGACACATTGGGCGGTGCACGGAGAGGGGGACCGGGCGCATCCACGTTCACAAGTCAGAGCAGTCTGCGCGGAGCACAACCCACACCTCATGAAACATCTCACGCACTTGCCTCCTCCACACACACACACACAAGGCCTTTTTGCAGGGATACAAGCAACCCCTTTTGTGTTACGGTGGTTGCGTGGTTGTACATCGGAGGGGGGGAGCACAGTCCACAGTCTGTTCCCTGTCATACGGGGGTGTTGGTGGCCTGCTTGATGACCTTGGTGCTGAGGACGGCGCCGGTGGTGTCGTAGATGACCTCGATCACGGCGCCCGTGGTGTCGAGCACCTGGTCCACCACCTGGCCCAGGCTGTTGACGGTGCGACTCAGCCGCTGGAGGTCCTTCACGGCGCCCACCACGACCTGGCTCAGCACGGCGCCCGTGTCGCTCACCACGCGCTCGACGATGTTGCCCAGCGAGTCGACCAGCCGCTGCACGAGGCCGTTCTCGCCCAGGACCGAGCTCAGCAGGCCGCCCACCGAGCTGACCAACCCCTGCCAAGGTCCCCCCACCACCACCACACCGTCCACCCACATCAGCATCGCTCATTAGGTTGAGAAATTTAAAATGGTGAGTACCGAGAGGAGGTCGGGATTGCGGTCGAGGGTGGTGAGGGCGCGGTCGAGGATCTTGGCGATGTTGTCCAGACGCACGTCGAGCTCGAGCTCGGCCTTGACGCCTTTGATGTCGAGCTCCACCTTGTTGATGCTCACGTCGACGCCCGCAGAGATGGAGAGGAGCGACGAGAGCTTTACATTGAGGTCGACGTGGGCGGTGAGGTTGTCCACCGTGAGCTTGATCTCGTCCACGCTCAGGTTGGGCACGTTGAGGTACACGTCGGGGCACGGGCACGACCCGTTCGTGGAGATGGTCGTGGCGGCGCACGACGGCGAGGGCGACGGGTTGCGCGTGGGTTCCTGGCCCAGGACGACACCGGACAGAAGAGCGAAGGCGATGCACAACGCGAAAACGAACATGGCTGGTGACTGCATGGGCGTGGGTGGTGCGCTTACAGCTTGCGAGGCTGGTATGGTTTTGGTTTGTCAATCGTGTCGGGTGACCGGTCAGAACTCTCCTTTATTTAAACGATCACTCGCATTGGTCGGAGCTGTAAGCAATTAGTGTCAAGCCACAACCGGGACGACAACTCCCACGGATATTCGCGGCCAAAACGCCGTGCCGTTGGCGGATAGCCCGCGCTGGTTCGAATCCCTGGGCTACTACGACGCGAACCAGCGCAGCAGGGCCGCCCGTGCTGCCGCCCGCTGAGCTTCGGTCTCGCTCGCGCCGGTGCCCGGCCCGAGTTGGAGGTGGACCTCCACCCGCACGCCTTCTCCCTCCGTTGCCGGAGCGACCTCCTATCAGACGCACCACCATCAGCTCCATCCACTGCGCACACGCACACGCACGCGCGTACGACGTGGCGCCACGGATCGGACGTACCTTGTAGACGGGCGCGGGTAGGCCTCGACGCTGGCACAAGACCTGGAGAAGCTCTCGGACGTCTTCAGCGCTGTCGTGCCCCAATGCTGCTCCGGGACCGTGGGCCACGGCCGGAGCGCAACTCGCCCCCTCGGGCTGGGCCTGGCCGGCGATGATGATCTTGTGCACGAGGCACCCGAACACGTCCACGCCGCACCCGCACCCGTGCTCCCGCTGTATCGTCTCCGGGTCGGCCATGCCTCGGTCCAGGTACGCCGCGCCTGCTCACAGCCCCGCAGCGCGTTCAGCCCGCGCCCCGCAACACGCCAACATGCAACACGCCGCGCACGAACACACACAGCACGCAACTCAACCAAAGAGAGGGGGGGATGAACCGATGAGGGATTCGAGGAGGTCGCCCAGGACCTTGTCCTCGGGTCCGGGGGAGGACGGCAGGCCGTGCAGAAGGAAGGCGTCGAGACCGCGCCTCGCGGTGCATTGGGCCAGCCATGTGTTCCGCACCAGCATCGAACGCCGGTCGGTCAGCGTGTCCTGCGGTGGTCGGTTGGTACAACGCACCGAAAGCGCACACGCACCACGCATCACACATACACGACACACACGCGCGCCACGCACGCACGCACGCACACCTCGCGGACATCTGTGGGGGCGGTGAAGTAGAGGTGGACGGAGGTGATGAACTTAAGGAGGCAGTCACCGAGGAACTCCAGGCGCTCGTAGGATCCTTCGGCCACGTACCTCGGCGCCCCTTCGCGCCCCTGGACCTCGGGGTCGTCTGTCGACTTCTCCTTCTCCTTCCCCTTCTCCTCGATGTTGCCACCATCTCCCTTGCTGCCGCTGCCGGCGAACGATTTGTGGGTCACGGCCTGGTGATTGTGTCGTGAGTTGTTGATTCGTCGTTACCTATTTATATATATAAAAATTGTGTGTGTCGTGTGTGTGTCTGTGTGTGTGTCTTTGTGTGTGGCGGGTGTGTGGCGCGCGTGTATGTGGCAACCTTTCGGTCGGTGGATACGAAAGCGCCTGCATGTGGTTCGAGGATAACCTATACCTGCTGCAGGTAGCCCTTATCGCCAAAGGCGAACCCCAGGGCGGACTCCAGGCCCGCCACATCCGCAGCCTCTCGCGCCGCTTCACGCACCACGGGAGGACCTTGTGTGCGTGTGCGTGTGTGTGCATGTGTGTGTGTGTGTGTGTGTGTGCGTGCGTGCGTGCGTGCGTGCGTGCGTTCAGGTGCGTGCTGGACAGAGAGGGACAGCACGACAGATAGAGAGACGTACAGATGTCTGTGCCCAGTGCTGGGTCGGTCGGTTTGGCGTAGAGCGGGCTGCGGACGAAGGGGCGAGACTCAGCGCGAGCATGATCGTCATCACCGCCCTCGCCATCAGTGCCGCCCTGATGCCGGTCGAAGAGCACGGCCTCGCAGAAGCGATTGGCCTGGTCGATGCCCTGGTCGAGGAAGAGCGCCGCGATCACGGCCTCGAGGAGGTCGGCCGACACCTTGGCGGCGCCCTGCGGGTTCGACATCGGGTGGCCGGTCACGAGCAGGCACTCCGGCAGGCCGAGCTCCTGGGCCGCCAGCGCCAGCACGGCGTTGCGGGTGTAGCGCTTCTTCTTCTCCGTCAGCTCGCCCTCCGTGAGCTGCAATAGGAAATGTGTGTGGTTAGGCCTCGGCCTTCGCGTGTTGTGTCTTGGACTCCCAGTGCGTGCGGTGCGTATAAACTCGAGATCGCACCGTGGGGTGGCGCAGGAAGACGCGAGTGACAGCGAGGAATTCAAGGACCCCGTCGCCGAGGAACTCCAGGCGCTCGTTGTGGGTCGTGTCCACCTCGCGTGCGTGCGCAAAGGTGGAATGCGTAAAGGCCTGTTACCATGCAACGGCACCAACCACCACATCAGCCCGCAAACACGTGCACCAACGCGCGCCGCCTTCAAGAAGAAGAAGAAGAAGAAGAAGAAGTAGAGGAGAGCGGAACCTCCTTGAGTAGGCGCCGGTTGATGAAGGGCAGGTGTCCCGCCTGCTGGAATCGGTCGGCGCGGGCGTAGAACAGCTGCAGGTCGTGGCAGTGGTTGAGGATGCCGGGCAGGTAGTGGACGTGCGTGGTGCTCATCTCGAACGTCAGCCCTGCTCCGCCCCAGACCACAATGCGAGCGAGCGAGCAAGTAGTACGGAGACAGTCAGGCGCCGTATGTACGGAATGCATACGATTTGGGCCGGGGGACGGTTGCACCGGAAATCGTGCAAAGCTCGAGCGGCACGAACAGGCATTTGCCGAGAGCGAGTGGCACGCCAGGGGGAGCACCCGCAGGTGATCTCTCTATAAGCATGGCGCACATGGCACACACCACAGTATATACACACGCCATGCAACGCGACACGATGCACATACACAATGCACACGACATGTTAGAGAACGCTTTGTGCGCAAATAGGAAGAGAAGGAGGCGGTAGTGGTGGTGCCTGGGATGATGGTGCCGGTGCCGGGAAGGATGTTGGCGAGAGCGCCTACGTTGCATTGGTTGGCCACGACCATGGGCTGCTGCACGTGTGCCAGCTCGATGCCCTTCTTTTGCCGGTAGTACTGCGCGAACGACGTCCAATGACGGTCCGCGCTGCAGAACCAATGCTGCGGCGTGATGTCCGTATTGACGCCACACAGCACATAGGCTGAGTCGTTGTATCTGGGCCACCACACGACACACACACGACAGCCCGCAACGCAACGCACAACACGCGTGATAAGTGTTGTCACCATTACAATGATGATGAGAAGGATTGCTACTAAAGTAAGTACGTGGTAAAGAAGATGCGGCCACTGAACTCGGCGTCGACGCGCGTCTGCGCCCGGCGAAGGCTTTCGGCGGAGTCTGGTAGCGCGGCCTGCTGGTCAGGGGGGCCGTTCTTGGGCTGGCCGAGCTCGACGCCTGTCTGGCGCAGGATTTCGTGGAAGCGATCGTAGGCCGGCACGCGCTGGTCTATCAGGGACTTGACAAATGGGAGCCGCAGGTCGTCATCATGGTCTATGAGATCCGGCGTATCTCTATCAACAACGCGTAAGCACCACGGGATGGCATTATACACGTGGTGTTCACGCACACGCACACGCACAACACAAACAGGCGTGGTGCACTTACCGAGAAGGAATAAACCGTGGGAGGATGTAGAGACTGCCGGGCGTGAACTGTAGTTTTTGCTGCACGCGCAGGATGGTGTGCAAGAGGTGCTCATGGACATCCCGCACGACCTGCAGCTCCGGGGCCGATAGCCGCAGCTGCCTCTCCGGCGCCACAAGCACCCGGACACGCTCGAATTTTTCCCCTGTCACTCACCACCACGTGCACCACCAGGAGTCAGGTCCCTGTCTGTTGTGTCGTGTCGTGCCGTGCCGTACCGTGTTGTGTTGTGTGTGTGTGTGTGATGTCTGACGGCGAGACGTACCGCATAACTTGAATTGGGGAATGTGGAGGGACGTGGAGCTGATCAGGTGGAACCCCGCGAACCGCAGGCCCGCAAAGTGCTCGTAGTCGCGGCCCTGTTGTGGGTCCGAACGAATAAGCGTACAAGAAAGGCACGGACGCGACACGAGGCGAAGACACAACGCACTACTACGCACCATGTCGACATCGGGCAAGCTCAGAGCGTACGCGTAGCACGTGACGGGGGCACCGGACGCGTGCGGCAGGCGCGGCAGGGCCGCCGCGATCTCGTCGTCACCGCGGCTCCGCTTGCGCGGGGGCTGGCCCCTGACCACGCCCTCAACCGTCCTGTTCTTGGGTGCGCCAGCTGGCCTTTCCGTGCCGGGTCCGGTCTCCGTGGGCTTCTCGTTCATGGCGGGCGCCAGTCTACCGGCGGAATGCGATCACGCACGATGGTGGTCAGTCGCCATTATTGCCATCACGTGGCCATCACACACAAGGGCATGGCCGCCGCGTAGCCGCACCCCAGGTCCACCAACTGTCGGTAGGCGTGGGCAGCCGCGACGTCGGCCGCTCTCTTCTTCGAGTTGCTTTGGCCACGTCCCTCCACCATCGCCTGTCCCGGTATGCACACCTCGACTGCCCCCAACACAAAAAAGAACAATAGAGAAACAATAAATTGAACAAACTATCAATAAAGAGATAGATCACCTGAGGCGGTGAAGGAAGGGGCGTGGGCAGGACCGTCAGGCTGGGACCATGAGTAGTGGGGCAGGAGCCCGCCCAGCCCCAGGACTGCCTGGTTCAATACGCTCTTGTTGGCACCGTTGGGCTGAGCAAGAGCCGCCCTGACCTGTTGTTGCTGCATCGCCAGTGAGCGCGCCTACTGCTGTCTCCTTCTGCTGCCACCGCGCCGTGGCGTCCACGCCCCTCCTCCATTGGGAACACCCAGTGCCCACGCTACAGGGCTGGTCACGAAATTCGTCCCACCCATCAGCGACTGCTGGGTTCAAGTGTCGTCGGTAGCCGTCGTGTACGTCAAAAAGAAATGTGCAAAAGAAAATAATAAAATAGCGTATTTTATTATTAATCAAACGAGTGGTTGGGATTCGTCTCAACGCACCTTGCAGCTCTTGAGGTAGCCTACGCCCTCCCTCGGGGTGCTACTTTGGGGTTGAGCTTGAGGGTCGTGACGGACTGCTTAATTGATACTTTTTCTACCTTCTTCTTTCTCAGGATGTTCAACTCGTCGCGCCCAAGTAAGGAGGAATGCGAAAAGCAGAAGCGTGCTCTCGAGGAGATGCACAATGGTACTAACCTTCCCCCCCCCCTCCTCAGTCCCTTTCCTCGTCTTCCTCTTCGTTTTCATTATTTGCGGGCCGTGTTTCCTTTTGCAGCGCACGTGCAGCAGCAGCAGCAGCAAGCCAAGCAGGGTCCTGGTGACCAGCAACAAGCCCCCAGTACGTTGGCACTTCGTCACGTTTGTGTGTTGCACTTTTGTGATGCTGGATTGGTCTGACGTCGAGACCATTTGGCCGTGGCTGGTCTGCGCGTGGTGGTCGTATCCTGCTGTGCAGGTCCGATCGATCAGGTGATCGCGGACTGGCAGAAGACGCTGACGGCGTCGGCCAGCACCGTGGCAGCGTCGGCGATGGGCGGTGGGAGTCCGGACTCGCCAGCGCCCTCACCGCTATTCGGACCAAACGAGACGCACACCAAGAAGAAGAAGGACGACAAACAACATCCCAAGAACAAGAGGGAGGGCGATCCCCTCATCTGCCTTTCTGTGCCTTCCGATGACTGCACCGGGTACGCCGCCACGCACTTTTATTTTATTTTAAATAACATGTTATTTTTATTTGCTGTCCGCGGATATGTTGTCGACCTTTTGGTTTTGTTTTTTTATTATTATTATTGCGCCACCGAAGGTCTCCACATTCCTGAACGAATTGGAATCAAATCAGTTCCATCTTCACCCAACAACCACTTCATAGACAAAACGGACAAGAGAAATAATCTAATTGACCAGATAAAATAGACAACAAAAAAGAATAATCGTAGACCATGTTCAACAGGAAGACGAAAGAAGAGGAGCAGCAGCTGCAAGAGGGCAAGCTCATCATTCTCGATGACTACGACAACGGGAAGCAGCACAAGAAGACCCACTCGCGCCACAACAGCGCCACCCCGCCCGCCCCCGCCGACTCAGCCGAGGCCGCGTCCGACCTGACCGGCCTGCTCCTCCCGCCGCTCCGCTCCTCCTCGTCGACCCCCACCTCCGCCACCACCCCCACCGCCACGCCCCTCTCCCCCACCGCCTCGTCGTCCACGCCTCCCGCCGCGTCCGCGCCTGCCGGCGTCACCTCGCCGGCCTCGTCATCACAGCCGCAGCCGCAGCCGCAGCCGCAGCAGTACCAGCAACAGCAGCAACAGCAACAGGGCGGGGGCTATGGGCAGCCGTCGCAGTTCATACCGCAGCAGCAGCAGCAGGCCTACGGCGGCGGCTACGGCGGCAGCAGCAGCGGCACTGGTTCGGGTCCGGCGCCCGGGTCGTTCCATCCGCCAGCCTACCAGAACGTGGGTCCCGGCGGCGCTCCCTACGGCACCCCCATCTACAACGGCCCCGCGTACGGCGGCGGCGGCGGCGGCTACCCGCCACAGCAGCAGCAGCAGCAGTACGGATTCCCGCCAGGACCCGGCCAGGGCTACCCTGGCATGTACCAGCAGCCGCCGCCGCAGCAGCAAGGCGGGCCTATGGGCTACGCGCCCCAGGCGCCGCTTCAGCAGCAGATGAACGCTCCCATGGGCTACAATCAGCCTCGGTACGCCGGATGTGTGTTGGTGCGTGTTTAGATCGAAGCGCTCACGTGTGTGCGTGTGTGTGTGGTCGTTTGTCTGTGTACGTCGTGTGCAGGCCGATGGGCACTCCGATGGGTCTCTCCGCTCCCTACCAGGGTTCGTTTCCGTCGTCGAGACTCGACACGGCCCTTACGCGTGTGAGTGCTGACCCATTCACCACGACCACCACCACCACCTCCACATCACACACCCCAGGAGCAGCAGCAGGAGGCGCGCCCATGGGCATGGCCAGCCCTCTCCCCGCCTCCGCCCCTGAAGCCCTCGCCGATCAGCTGGTTCACCTCCGACCCATGCCTCCTCTCATTATGATTATTAGTATTTGTGCACGCGGTTGACATATGCGTCTGCCTTTGTGTCGTGTTGCGTGTCGTGTCGTGTCGTGTCGTGTCGTGTCGTGTCGTGTCGTGTCGTGTCGTGTCGTGTCGTGTCGTGTCATGTCGTGTCGTGTCGTGCCATGTCGTGTCGTGTCGGCCACTATCAGTCGAACTTGCACGTGGCCCGGCAGAACTTCATGCAGCAGCAGCCGCCGCAGCACGGTATACCCCACACACCCCCGCACCCTCACGGTATCCACCACCACCGTCTCACCGTCCCACCATCGCCACCAGTCCCACTGCCCGCTGTTCCCCGCCAGCTATTATTTATTTATATTGAACATTTGACTACTTAAATCGTTTCCCCCTCATTCATTTATGAATGTCGTTTATTAATTATTTGTTGGCGCCCACGTTGACGGCAGGGCTGATGCAGCCGTTGGTGCCGGTGGCCGCGCCCATGATCTCCTCGCCGGACAACACCGGGGCCAGCGGCGCTGCTGCGGGCGGCGGCTCCGGCTCCGGCGTCGACGACGAGTGGCACATCGAGTACAACGAACTCGAAACCAACAAGTACCTTCCTCCCTTCTGTACATTTTGCTTTCAATTCCACACATTCTTTCGGAAGCCATGTGCTCATCGCCGTGTGGTGTTCGAGCAGGGAAATCGCTCGCGGTAGCTTCGGTGTGGTGTACCAGGGCGCCTTCCGCGGCACCGAGGTACGATATGAGCGCTGGAGGGATGGGGTTGGACGGTGGGTCGCAATGCAACTCTAACGAGAGAACGCGACGCGTCACACACGAACAACAGGTGGCCGTGAAGAAGCTCATCCAGCAGCACTTCTCGCCCGAGCAAATGAAGGACTTCCTTGATGAGATCAACATGATGAAGTACGCTGCCATTTTATTCTTATTGTTATCATTCTCTCTCTTTCATTTTTATTATTTGCTCGTTTTGGTTTGTTTTCTTTTGTTTTGTTTTGTTTTGTTTTGTTTTACGGCCGTTAACGCACAAACCACGCGGGCAGGAAGCTGCACCATCCCAACGTGGTGCTGCTGATCGGCGTCTGCGTCAAGGAGCCCAACCTGTGCATCGTCACCGGTGCGCCCCCCACATCACCCTGTGTCCTATTTTATACCGGTGGGCGCGCGGAATCTCAGAGATACTCACACTGTGTGTCTGGTGTGTGTGTGTGTGTGTGGTTGGGTGCACTCCAGAGCTGCTGGCGGGCAGCATGTGGAATCTGCTGCACGACAAGAGCGTGAGGCTCGACTGGAAGCTGCAGCACAAGCTGCTCCTTGACACGGCCAAGGGCATGGTACGCACACGCACACAACGCGCGCGGGCCGCGCAGTCGCTGACCGGAAATCGTCCACGTACGTCGCCGTCGTTGTTGTCGCGCGAACAGAACTACCTGCACCTGTTCAAGCCGCCCATCATCCACAGGGACCTGAAGAGCCCCAACCTGCTCGTGGACTCGCACTTTAACGTTAAGATCGCTGGTACGCGGCCTCATCATCACACACTCCCCTGCTTCTTGCGCGCGTCTTCTACGTCGTGCGTGTCATGCGTGAGTGTGTTGTTGTTGTTGTTGTTGTTGTTGTTGTTGTTGTTGTTGTTGTTCTGTCTGTGTGTGTGTGTGTCGCGTGTGTTAGCGTGCGGTGTTACACGCGTCTTACGTCACCACGTGCGTGCCGAATCAGATTTCGGGCTGGCGCGCATCAAGGCGCAGCTCATGACCGGCAACCTCGGCACCTGCCAGTACATGGCCCCCGGTACGCCACCAACCATGCCAGCCCAGCCCAGCCCAACCAGGCCCAGGCCCAGGCCATTCTAGTAGAACGCGCACACGCACTGACTTACAGGCCATGCACCGTCGTCGTCTTCGTCTCCTCCGGCAGAGGTGATCACGAGCGCGACGTACAGCGAGAAGGCCGACGTGTACAGTTACGGCGTGGTGATCTGGGAGGTGCTCACCCGTCAGGCCCCCTGGCAGGGCATGCAGCCCATGCAGATCGCCTACGGCGTCGTACACCAGGTTCGCCCCCCACCCACCCAATATTATTTTTCCAATCCGATTGTCGCAGCACTCACTCTCTCTTCTCTCCTTCTCTCTCTCTCTCTCTCTCTCTCTCTCTCTTTCTCTCTCTCTCCCGATAGAGCATGCGACCCCCGATCCCGCCGGGCACTGCGCCCCCGCTCGTTCACCTCATGCAGCAGTACGCGCCCCCCCCCACGCCTCTCCCCTCCCACCCAACACCGGACACGCGTCGTTGACCCCGGGTGGCCGCACGTTGTCGTTGTCGTCGTTGTTGTTGGGGAGCAGATGCTGGCACCAGGACCCCGCCCAGCGCCCCTCGTTCACGGAGATCCTGCAGCAGCTCAAGGCCCTCCACGTGTAGGGCGTCCCGCCGTTGCTCCTCTCGTCCCATCAACCACCGCCACCGCTCGTCTCCTCCTTCCTCCCTTCTGGTTGTCCCTTCTCCCGTTAGATGCCAAACCGCCAACTCCACTTTTGTTGTGCTCCAGTTACGTTTGGTTTGGTTTGGTTTGGTTTGGTTTGGTTTGGGTATATTTCAGAAAGGGTGGGCCAACGAGCCGCGCGGGCGAAATACACAAGGAAGAGGAGCCGGCGGGCGGCAGCAGTAGGCAAGGGCAACGTTGCTTATGTCGTGTCGTGTGTGTTGTGTGGGCGTCGCATCGGCGATAGCCCACAACACAATAAATAGCACAGGTGGTGGAATAAATAATCTGAAAAAGCAAATAAATAATCTTAACGCTGGCCTGACAGCTGATCGCTCAGGCGCTGAAGGAGCTCCCCGACGTCGGGACGTAGTCGTAGTCGAGCGGCGTCGCGTACGAGAACGAAGACGAAGACGAGGGCGCCGAAAGTGGAGACGAGATCGAGGGCAGGAAGGACGACGCCTGGCAGTGCTGCTGCTGATGATGGTAGTGACCCGACGCTGCGGCGGCGGCGTTGTTGTTGTTGTGGCTGAAGGCGTGGGCCGGGGCGGGAGGGAGGAGGAGGCCGTGGCGCGGGCCTCGGCCGCTCTCTTCCCACATGAGGAAGTCGGTCATCTCGCCGTGCAGCTCCTCGAACCCGCCGCTGATGTACGAACTCAGCTCCTCCGACGAGCCCAGCGCGCTCCGCGTCTGGTACTGGTGCGGCTGGCACTGCTGGTGGTGCTGCTGGTGTTGGTGGTGGTACTGGTAGTGCTGGCCGCCGAGGTGGTCCTTCTCCTCCTCCTCCTCCTCGACCTTCTCCTTCTTCAGCTCCAGCGGGAAGAAACCCGGCCCGTGGTACCCCGACGACGATGCGGGAGCGCATTGGTTGTTGCCCTCGTACTCGTGCTGCTGCTGGTGGTGATGGTGCTGCTGCTGCTGCTGCTGGTAGTGGTGGTAGGACTGGTGGTATTGCTGCGGCTGCTGGTGCCGCCGCTGGTGGTGGTACTGCTGCTGGTGCTGCTGGTGCTGCTGCTGCGGGTGGTGGTAGGGGTGGTAGGTCACCGGCTGGGCCGAGTGGCGGAACGAGGCGAGGTGCGAGGAGCGGCGCCTCTCCTGCTTGGCTACGGGCGAGGAGTGGTCGGCCGATGACGAGGAGGAGGAGGAGTGGAGGAGCAGCTCGTCGGCCTCGGGCGACGACGCCGGCTCGAACTTGACCGGCGTGCTGGCCGCCTCGCCGCCGGCGCTCGAGCGACGCGTGGTGGCTGCCGGGGCCGCGGCGGCGGGGTTCCTGCGTCGGCGCTTGCGCGGGGCCGACTTGTCGAGGCAGGGCGCGTGGGTGTGTGCGCCCTCGTAGGTGACGACGAGGCCGACGAGCAGCGCGTCGACCTGCTTCTTGACCGGGCACTGCTTGTCGGTGCACTTGTAGTAGGAGCGCGGGTAGCCGCTGCCCTTGACGTACTTTTGGCCGTACTTGCGCCAGCGGTACCCGTCGTCCAGGTAGTCCACGCTCGCCTCCGTCGTCACCACCAGCCGCGGCGTGTTGTTCCCCGCGCTGCTCCTCGCACCACCACCGCCACCCTCCGCGGGTCCTTCGTGCGCGGCGTGCGATGCGTCGTAGTCGGCGAACCCGGCGAGTACGGCGTTGCGGAACGAGTCCTGGTCGTGTGCGGTGAGCTGGGTGACGCACGGGCGGTCGTGATTGTGCTTGGCCTTGTAGATGGAGCTCGTGGAGACGATGTGGCCGTCGCGGATGACGGCCTCGACCTGCTTCTTGACCGGGCAGTGCGGGAAGGTGCACTTGAAGTAGGAGCGCGGGTAGGGGCTGCCCTTGACCGTCTTGCGGCCGTACTTGCGCCACCGGTACCCGTCGCTCTCGGGGCTCAGGTGGGCCTCGATGTTCAGATCGGCCGTCACCTCCACCCGCCGCTCCACCCGCCGCTCGACCTTGACCACCTGCTTCCTCCTCCTCCTCTGCTTCGTCTGCCGCAGCTGCTGCTGCTGCTGAGCGGAATGCTTGGAACGCTTGGCCGCACGAGTAGCGGCGTAGGCGTCATCGTCGTCATCATCGTCGTCGACGTCGTCGCTGTCCTCGCCGCCGTTGTCTCTGTCGCTGTCGCACTCGTTGTCATCGTCGTTCGTGTCATCGTCGTCGTCGGAGAAGAAATCGTCGTCGTCGACCTCGCTGCTGCCGCTGTTGAGCTGGTCGGCGGGCATTGTCGACTCCTCCGAGGCCACGAACGGCCACTCGTGGCTGCCCGCGCGCGACTCCAGCTCGCTGCTGCTGCGGTCGAGCTGCTGCCGCTGCTGGTGGTGGTGGTGGAGTTCATCGGCGTTCTCCGCCTCCGCCTCCTCTTCCTTGACGGCGAGGAGGGCCGATGGGTGGAGGGTCATGATGGCCTCGTCGCACCGCCTCTTCCGCCCGCGCCGCCCACGCGACATCGCCTCCAGCGACGGCGTGTGCGCCGCTTGTCCTTGCTGCTGCCCCTCCTCCTCGGAAGCAGGCCGGAGTTGCAGCTGCTGCGGGCGGTGGTAGTCCGTGTTGGCCGTCGGCGGCGGCAGGTCGTAGTAGAACGACGACTGCGCGGGCATCGCCTCCAGCTGCTGCTGCTGCTGGAACTGGTGGCGGTCGTGGTGGCTGTAGTGGTGGTGGTGGTGGTATTGTCCGGCGGCAGCGACGGCAACGGCGGCGGCGGCCATGGCGGCGTCGGACAAGGGTGGTGGTGGCGGGTGGTGGTAGAAAAGGGCGGGCGAGACGGCGGCTGAGTCGGCGCTGGCCGAGGCCGACGCGCACGACGCGTCCCAGGAGCCCAGGGAGCTCGAGTAGGGCGACGTGGCGGTCGCGCCGCCGCTGCCGGGCGTCGCCTCGGCCGCCGAGAGGGGCGGCGAGTGTGCGGCGGGGCTCGTGCTGATGGCGGCCGCGGGCGTGCGGGTGTGCGAGGGCGACGGCGTGGTCCACTCGAGGTCGTAGGTCGGCGAGCCGCTCTGGTGGCGGTGATGGCCGTGGTGGTTGGTCATGACGAGGTTGGGCGCGCTGTAGTTGAAGTGGCGGTGGCCAAAGTAGTAGTGGGGACCCTGCAGGGCGGCGGAGGAGCCCGCGTGCGGCTGCTGGGCCTCCACCAGCGCGCTAAGTGGCGGGTAGCACGGCTGCAGCGCCGGCAACGCCGCCGACGACGACCCCGCGCTACCGCAGCTACTACTCGAGGCCGACGACATTGATGGCTGCTGTCCCTGGTGCATGGTGTACGGGTCGATCCCACACGCTGATACCGGAGAGAGCACCAGAGGGTGAGACAAAGACATAACACAACACATTGGGCGAAATACAGGGGGGAATAGCAACGTGTCAAAAAATGTTAATTACGCCTTTACGTATTTTTGTTTTCGCGCGTGTGTAAAAATAAACCCAAGCCGGCTGGAGGCGGAGGTGACACAACACAACACAACACGGCCAGAAGAGAAGTAGTAACAGAAACAGGCACCACAAACGAGAGAATAAAACGGGATATATATGTATAAATATGTGTAGGTGGTGGGTAGGCGTACCACCCAAGGAGGGCAACGCCAATCCGTAGCCGGCAGACATATGGTAACCGTCGGAGCAGTTCACCTGTGATCACGCGCGCGCGTAGAAGCCCCCAACTGGTGGTGCAGTCCACGCCCAGTAACGAAGCGAACGTAGCTCGAAGAAGATGACGCTGCGGCGGCCGGTGGATGTGCGATGTAGGTGGGAACTTGTGGGCAGTGAGGTGAAGGCAGGCGAAGAAGTAGCCTGGGCGAGAAGCTAGAGAAATCGATCAAAGATGGTTGGCCTGTGATGTAGGTGCAGCTGGGTAGGGAAAGGTGGCGTGTGCTTCGAGAGAGGAACTGGTGCGCGGGCGTGTTCCTTGGTGGGGTCGGGGATGGTGGTGGGCAGGAAAGTGGAGGTGGCTGTGGCGTGGGTGTGCTTGTCGCGTTGGCGGGGGTTTGGCAAACAACAACACAGAAACCAACTAACACCGCAACATGTGTGTGGCTGGACACCGCAATGCGCAGATACACACACAGATAGGGAGTTCTGGCAGGCATGCGGGCACTGGCTACACGTGGGGCCATCATGTCGACAAGTACGCAACGGGCATAGCCAGAACACAATTTGGAAAGCACGCAATCCATTCCGCCCGCTGTTACCGCCCATTTGTGAAACTTGGGAATTCGCGCTCGTTCCCACCTTAAGGACCAACCAGCGCGCGCGCGAACTCCTGCAGTCTCCATTCCAGCCCTGCGAATTCCGCGTTACCCTGGGCCAGGCCATAATAGAGGGTGCTGGGTAGAGATTTGGTGGTCACGTGCGGGCAAGGCACGCACACGATTGGGAAACGCAATCCGCGGCGCTACCAAGGAAGCTAAAAAGCGACAAGGTTACGAATTCACAAGAACTTTCGTTAATGAAAAGAGAATGGAATTCTTTCGCGGTGCCCTATGGAATGCAAAAAATTTTGTGCCGTTTTGCATATTCGTTATTCTGTTTCCGAAACAGTTTGGGGGTAAGGGGGGGGCAGTACGGGTACGTGGCTGGTTGTGGGGAAGTGTTCGGGGCAAGGAAGCTGGACATTGTGTGCAGGTAGTGGAACTTTGTTGTCAGGCAGAGGAAGGAGGCGTTCGCACCAGTGTCCTGGGCTGGAGTTTAGCGATAACACAGCACCGGCTGTGTTCCTGTCCTTCCAACGCGAAGGCCCAAAGTCTCCGCGCGGCCATCATGAGGTGTAGAGAAGAAGCAGTGTCCATGCGTCTGGCACCAGAGGGTGAAAAAACATACAGTCTGCGGCTGAGGCGAAAAGACAAAACAGGGCTGGTCTGGTGTGGTCCTGGTCTTCGTGTTACTGTCTCGCTCCCTTGAGCCCGTCGGTCCCGCGGAGGTTTCACTGAATTGAATGATGAATGCCGTACGTGTGATGGGCGTGGGGTCGTCGTCGATGAGGTAGTCGCCCTTGATGATGGTCTTGTCGAGCCAACCAGCTCTGACTTTGCCGTTTCTGCTCAGCCGAGTGGCCGACCGGTCCACCAACCTTGTGCTTGACGTGTATCGCCAGCACAGCCAGTGGCGGAACTCGACGCACAGTTTCGACCAATTCGGTTTTATTGAGTCAAGCTCATGCCAATTTGTAGAAACTGTGCGAAGCATGCAGGGAATGAATGAATGCGAGCTATTCAGAACTCTCGCCGCCATTTTCCTGTTGGCCCGAGAAGGCGGCGGACACTTCCGAACGGACCCTTCGGTTCGCACGCAAGCGCCTGTCCTGCCTATGTTCAATCAACTCAGCGACTAGTCGACCACTATCATGGATGCTCCCACCCCTCATCTAGGCGCTTCGTTTCCACCTGTCACCGCTGGGCTCGCCCCCTCCCTATGCGTGCTCAAGCAGAATTCGCTGTCCGAGGAGAAATTCACCCGAGGAGGTAAGCCGCACAAGGTACCGTGTCAACCACCTCACACCCAAAGCCCCCAATGACTATTTCTATTTTACGGACATTTTTTACTATTTTTTAAAAAATAATGAATTCCATTCAAAATACAAAAATCATTTTTCTGACGCTTGCCATCGAAAAGGTGCACGTGGTGGTGAAGAACAGCCCCTTCGTGGTCTCCCTGGCCACCGCCGCCAGCAACAAGCCCTTGTACGCCCCTTTTTGGCCTTCTTGTTCTTTCTGCACTGGCCCGGTCGCGGGGACGTGGTCTCATTCTTCCGCGTCTCGCGTCGCGTCGCGTCGTGTGTGCACAGCGGTCCGCTGGACATGATGTCGTTGGCCAAGTACTTCACCAACGGCGAGCTTGATCTGGGCAAGCTCACGTTTGACTGCAAGCTCCTCTACGACACCGAAAACGGATCCGGTCCGCCACTCCGCCTCTCCGCCTCTCCAACTGGGTCCTCGTGTGTGTGTCGTGTGTGTCGTGTGTGTCGTGTCGTCGCTGACACCTGGTCGGGTGTTAACAGAGAAGGAGGTGGACTTCGTGGAGAACAAGCCCTTCCAGTTCAAGGTGAACGTGGTGAACGGGGGCCGGCAGGTGGACATCGAGGTGCGGCTCAAGGTGCTGAGCTCACAGCACGAGGACATGTTCTTCGTGGTCAAGTTCATGGCCCTCGACCCGCTCACCAAGCGCGAGGTGTCCCCCTACCTCGTCGTCCACTCCCTCCCCATCAAAGTCATCTCCGTACGCCACCCCCCCCCCACACCACCACCATCGCCCACCTCACACATGTGCGGTGCTCACTCCCGCGGGCGTGGAATGTGAATCATGTGCCCCCCCCCATCGCGTGTTTCACAGAAACCGGAGCAGCTCAAGAAGCGGCGGCCGAGCAAGAAGCGCACCCTCAACGACATGCTCATCGAGGCCCTCACGCGCATCGAGCAGAACCAGGTACGCTACACATGCCCACCACATCAATCATCTCTTTACTATGCTCCTCCCCCACCTTATTTTCTGATCTGTTCTCTGGGACTGTGTGTGGTGCGTGGTGTGCGTGTGTGTGTGTGTGTGTGTGCGTGTGCGTGTGTGTGTGTGGTCTTGGGGGTGCGCAGCAATCCCAGCAGCAACTGCTGGACCAGCTGGCCGAGGGTACGGGCATCACCGTCGAGATCGAGGACGACGAAGACGAAGACAGCGGGTAACCCCCCCCCCCCTCTCCTCTCCTTTCCTCTTTCAGCCTCTTCTCCCCAACCCCCTCCTTCGCTGACGTGTCGGGCCTCGACCCACCAATCCGCGGCACACAGGGACGGCGAAGGATCGGATGGAGACGAAGGGTAAACAACGCTACTCCCCCCCCCCAAGCCACCACCAAAGCTTCTGCTTTCATTTTTGACGTGCGCGGCCGCGGAGCCTTGTATGGCTGACTCGGATCGGTGGTGGCCGTGGCACTCGTAGGGAGGGCTTCTTTTCGCAGGGCGGCGGCGGCGAGCAGCTCAGCGCGCACCAGCAACAGCAGCAGCTCCACCAGCAGCTGCAGCAACAGCACCACCAGCAGCTCCTCATGCAGCAGCAGCAGCAGCAGCAGCAGCAGCAGCAACAGTTTATGGGCCACCAGCAGCTGCCGCCCCACATGCAGCAGCAGCAGCAGCAGCCGGCCCAGCACGCCGCCTCAGCCCCGGCCTCCGCTGTCGCTGACCCGGCGATGGAGTTCGAGGAGGCGCTCGACACGCTGCTGCAGAAGTACTCAGCCGTGCCCGACAGCGAACGCGAGGCCAAAATCCAGAAGGTCCTCCTCCAGTCCCCGCTCTCTCGGTATCCCCCCCCCTTCCTCTCTTTACGCTTCTCGCCCCTCTCCCACCCACTTCCCCTCGTGGATCACTCTTCTCTTCTCTTCGTGGTCTTGCTCACGTCTCGCGTGCGTGTGTGCGTGTTGTGTGTGCGTGTTGTGTGTGTGCGTGTGACAGAGAAAACCTGGTGGAGCTCTACGACCTGTTCGTGTCGGAGGGCCTGCAGCCGCCCCCAGGCGCCGACATGGAAGGTTTATAATACACTCCTTCTCTTACCCCCCCCCCACAAACCCTAGTTCTAGGGCGCTGAAGTGACTGACGCGGTGGTGTGTGGCGTTCTTTATCTAACAAAAAGGGGAGGGCAGCGGCGTGCCGGTGAGTGGGGAGTGCGCGTGTCCGTCGTGTCCCCACCGAGCGGAGCTCGAGCGGATCGAGGTGTTCTACCGCGACGTCTTCCATCTTTGAATACGCACCCCTCCCCCCTCGCTGTGTACATAGAGTTTTTATTGCAAGAAGAAATACACAACACGTGAACGACATGTCTTGGCTGCGCTTCTTCGTGGGTGTTGCCGCCCTCCTGTTGGTCGATGGTTTACAGTTCCTTCCAATGCAGGCAGAGCATCGCCATTAAAGGCGATCTCTTTCTATAAGGACCGGCCAACCCCGACACGGCACAACCAAACCAAGACAAGCACAGCAAGTCAGACAGTAGCACATCATTCCACCCGTCGTCGCCACCACTGACCATGCAGTCGCCCGCCGTGTTCGCTTTCGCTTTTTGTGTCGCCTTCGCTCTTCTGTCTGGCGTCCTGGGCCAGACGCCGACCGTCTCCCCCTCACCCTCGCCGTCGTGCCCCGCCACCGTCATCTCCACGAACGGGTCGTGCCCGTGCCCCGACGTGTACCTCCACGTGCCCAACCTGAGCGTGGACAACATCACCCTCCTGGTGGACAACCTCACCGCCCACGTCGACCTCAATGTGAAGCTCTCGTCGCTCCTCGCCATCACGGCCGGCGTCGACGTGAGCATCAACAAGGTGGAGCTCGTCATCCTGGGCGTCAAGGCCGAGCTCGAGCTCGACGTGCGTCTGGACAACATCGCCAAGATCCTCGACCGCGCCCTCACCACCCTCGACCGCAATCCCGACCTCCTCTCGGTACTCACCATTTTAAATTTCTCAACCTAATGAGCAATTCTGATGTGGGTGGTGGGTGGACGGTGTGGTGGTGGGGGCCTGGGCAGGGGTTGGTCAGCTCGGTGGGCGGCCTGCTGAGCTCGGTCCTGGGCGAGAACGGCCTCGTGCAGCGGCTGGTCGACTCGCTGGGCAACATCGTCGAGCGCGTGGTGAGCGACACGGGCGCCGTGCTGAGCCAGATCGTTGTGGGCGCCGTGAAGGACCTCCAGCGGCTGAGCCGCACCGTCAACAGCCTGGGCCAGGTGGTGGACCAGGTGCTCGACACCACGGGCGCCGTGATCGAGGTCATCTACGACACCACCGGCGCCGTCCTCAGCACCAAGGTCATCAAGCAGGCCACCAACATCCCCGTGTAACCGCCCCTGCGCAAGACAACTCTCACATCTCTGTGTAAATGAATGGAATATGAATACCAACATGTTTTACCAACTGAGGCTCATGAAGCGTTTGCAGAAGATGACCTACAGTCCACTCAGTACATTACGAGCCCGCCATCGTCATTGTCTTCGGGGTTCATCAGGATGGGCTCGAACCACCCATAAAACTCGCAGCTGAGCTTGTCCAGGCTCTGCTTATCTCGGAGAAACCCGATTGATTGCGCGTCCGCCAGCCCACTGTGCCCGTCCACCCTCAGCACTCGCAGTTTCGGGAAGGCAGGCCCTACACACATGACACGACGACACACTCGAAGCCATGAGTTCGAAGCCGAACCGCCGCGCGCGCAGTTCTCAGAGAGGAGAGCATTTACCGGCGAGCACGCGAGCCGAAGCGAAGGTGAACTTCTTGTAGCCGGAGACGACGAGCTTCTCCAGGCTCGCGCCACAGTGGCGCGCCAGGCTCAACACCGTTGCGTCTGCACGTCGATGTGATCGCAATGGCGTTATTGCGGAGTCAGCCCGCTTCTTCGAGTTGGTTTGGTTGTGAGTGGTGTTCGTGGTGTGTGTGCCGTGCGTGCGTGTGTGTGTTGTGTGTCGTGTGGCGTGGATTACCGGTGATCTTGGGCAGGGGGCCGCGGAGCTCGAGGTGCCACAGGCGCGTGTTCAATTGCTCGACGATCCTCTCCACTGCGACGTCGGTCAGGCCATAGCCCCGGTCCACTACCAATTTACCCAGCTCACGGCACGCCCACGGCCGCTTGGCTGCGCCGGAGCGAAGAGATGAATGAGCTCCAATATGTCGTGTGCGTGTGTCGTGCGTGTGTCGTGTGTCGTGTGCTGATCTGGGTACCGCTGAGAATGGCGTCGTCGTGGTTGCGAAAAGAGGATTCGCGAAGGCGGAGGCTCCGAAGCGAAACACAGTTCTCGAGCACGCTCGCCACAATGTCTTCGTTCGCGGCCGCGTCTGTAGAACAGTCCCCCCACCCCCAATAATGAATGAGTTCATTGAACTTCATTCGTAGGGGGGTGGGTTGGGGGTTGAAGGCGACGAGCGGAGGTGGTGGCTGGAGGGTACGCGTACCTTGTTCGGTGTAGGCGTACCAGCAGTCGGGGTCCTCGGCCTGGGTGATGCCCGGCAGCGCCAGGTGGGTGAGCTGTCGTCCGATGGGTCCCGCCAGCAACCACACAAATCGCTCCTTCTCCACCCTTTGACAAAAGTGGTTTTTTTTAAGGGGAAGAAACATGACACACAGCACACACGACACACACGACACACACAGCACACACGGCACACACGGCACACACGACACACACGACGCAGAGAAAAGAACTGTGTATGTGTACCTCAATTTGCGGTGGGTCACCTTTCGGCCGTCATAGGGAGGACCGAAGTCGAGCGAGGTGAGGTTGGTCAGATGGAAGAGCAGGTCCACGTGTACGTCGCTCAGCCCGCGAACGCGCAGGACAAGCGAGCGGAGCCTCGTGCACGCGGACAATACCTCTTCACTGCCCACGGCGCTCTCGCTGCGCCTGCACAGATATGCATGTTTGGGTTCGCACACGCACACGCACACGCCCCATCGCACACGCACCACTGCACACACACACACAAGCAGGCACGGTACCCTTGTTGCGCCATCTCGAGGACTTCGAGGTTGGGGCAAGTGGAGATTGCGGCCCAGAGTTGGGGGCTGTTAAGTCGGTGGTTGCCTTTCAATCGCAGTTCCCGGAGGCTGGTGTTGCAGCTCCTAAAGCACAACATCTGCACCACCTCGGGAGACAAGAGCCGCACCTGGCCACCCACCGATCAACCTTGCGCGTTAGGTCGATATACGCATTGCACGACACGACACATGACACACGACACACGGCACGCAGCACGCGGCACGCGGCACGCACGAGAAGTGTACGTTTTCGAGTGACACGGAGGCGAGTTGAGTGTGGGCATCGAACAGAGCGAGGAGGTCATCCTTGGGCAAGTCAACCTGTGGGCAAGAAAGAAAGGGTCAGCCAAGCCCGACAATTCGAGCAGAGATTGGACGGCGGGCCGCGTGTGTGTCGTGTGTGTCGTGTGCGTTGTGTGCGTCGAGTGTACGTTTTTGCTGAGGTCGAGGTGGGTGATGATGGACGGCACGGCGGCCGTCAGCGCCTTGAGTCCGCCCGAGCGGAGGCAGGGCATGGCCCGCAGTGCGAGAGCCGTCAGCTCGGGCAGCTTCAGAACCTCCGTTACCGTCTCCGCCGTTAGCTTGTTGCAACCTGTACGCCGGCGTTATTAAAGGTGACGACCATCATCATCATCATCACCATCACCACCATCATCTCGGTCCGGTTAGTGATATAACGCACGTATGAGCTCCAGCCGGGCCAGGCGAGGGCATCCCTTGACGACCAGTTTGATGCTGTTTGTGTGATTGGCGGTCGTGTGCGTTAACCATCCGTGTGTGTGTGTGTGGTGCGTGCAAGAAAGAGGGGAGTGGAATGGAGCACCTGTTGTGGATGATCGACGTGTTGTTTTTGATGGTGAGCGAGGTGAGGTGCGCGCAGTGGTGGCTGATGAACACGAACACGCCGTTGTTGACCAGCGCGCCGCCCAGGTGTTCCGGCTTGCGTCGCGAGATCGAGTTGGGCCTCCGCGAACCGCGGCCGAGCGGAGGAGAGCACAATCGCAACTCCTGAATGTCCACCCGCCCACCACCAGCCAACGTCAGTGTCGACAACAATCACAACTCGTGCTTTTGAGCTTCAGCGCACCTCCGTGGCGGCGCTGATGAGAAAGGGCGCCGTTGCGGGTCCGAGCGCGAAGTGGCGAAGCGCGGCGGAGCGAAGAGCCGGCATCAGGTGGCTGTCCTCGCCCAGCGGCAGCGGACGCGGCCAGCCTTGCATCACCCTCTCCCGCTCTTCTGCTTGCCCCCCCCCCATCACGGTCCCTTTGAATATCTGAACTTTGATAGAAAGTGCTTTGCCAAGCGTACGAGGTGAAGCCATGACGTCAACCACTTTATGCACGCACAGAGCGAGCAAGGCCTGCGGTGATTGCCATGCATCCCCCGCACTCTGGTTCGTCCTAGGGCGCTTCATGGGCTTATAAATATTGGCTCCCAGCTGCCCGTGAATTAGAAGCACAACGTTATTGCAGTCTAAATCATTCACATTCAAACAACATTGTACACACGCCTTGTACACGTTTTTGCTGCACCATCTTGGTAAGGAAAAGAACCATCTTGCACTCCAACAAGGTACTTTGCATCCCCAAGCAAGATTGTCAATGTTCAAAAGTTTTTGTTTGCTGTGGCTGCAAGGGATAGAGAGGAAAGGGCTGTGTACACAGAATCGGGGTCTCCGAAGGTGGGGTGTGGGGTGTCTTCTACTATTTCGGTCGCAGCTGGGGATTGGTGGCCGCCGAGTAGTACTGCACCGTGTGCGCAACACAACCGGTCAGTGCAAGGAGAACACACGCGAGGTTATTGTGGAGGGGGGGGGCAGGAAGATGTAGACGTGCCTGCTGTCCACCCATGCCCTCAAAGTTCATCCCGGGCTGTTGTGGGGCGCCGCCCGTGTTCATGGGCTGGCCCATGGAGTAGCTCCCGCCGGCCCCGCCTGAACGATGACATATCAGCCAAGATCAGCCATTCAGTCATTCCATCACCAGTCGCCAAAAAGGTTGGCCGTACCGGCGCCCATGTGCTGGAAGGAATGCATTCCGCCGCCGCCGCCCTGGCCCGACTGCTGTCCAGGGAAGCCGCCACCGCCCGAGTACCCTCCGTGGCCCACGCCCTGCCCTCCCTGGTGAGTGTTGTGTGTGTGTCGTGTGTCGTGTGCGTTTCAACATAAAGAATGCGTGGAGTGAAAGAAAGAGGGGGACGCAAGGCGAGTACATACCGGAGCGGCCATACCCTGGCCTGGTGGTGGACCCACCACCATGCCCGGATGCCCCGACTGTCCGCCCATCACGGCTCCGCCCGCCTGGCCCATGGCCATGCCCATTCCACCCTGCTTAAAAGCCACAACACAACACGACACACGACACACAAACAAGTGAGTGGCCCAGCCCGGGTGCTGATGGTGATCAGTGAGTCGGTGGGCACCTGCAGCTGGCCGCCCATTTGTCCCGGGAAGCCGCCCATAGGCTGGCCCGGCACTCCTGTCGACAGAATGAAGGGTCAGTGCTCATTGATCTGGCATTGGGCGGCGCTTGTGTGGCTGCGTACCCGATTGGGCGGCGGCGGCGCGGCGGGCAGCGGCGGCTGCTTGGGCCTGCGCGGCCTGCTGCGGGTTCTGTCCCTGCACCACCTGCGGGTTCTGTCCCTGCACCACCTGGCCCTGCTGCTGCTGCTGCGGGTTGCCCTGGCCCGGCACCTGGCCCTGTGGCACCTGGCCCTGCTGCTGGCCGGTGGCGAACGGGCGGATGTTGAGGTGCTGCTTGGAGTGGATCAGCCCGAGCAGCGTCTCCTTGTGCGGAATGATGAACAGCGTCTTCGACGGCAACGTGATCACCGCCGCCTATATGATGTAATTTGTTGCATTATGTTATGTTAGAAAGTTGAAATTTATGTAACAGTAAATGTGAACATAAATAAAATAAATTGACGATAAATGGTGATGGGTGGCGCACCCAGGACTTGGAGACGAGCTGGTTGAGGAAGTGGTTGTAGGGAGGCGGCTGGCCGGGCGTGGTCGGGGGGATGATTTTCTGCACCGAAAAGTGGAGCACGAGCGCGGACTTGTAGTGCATCTGCAGCGCGTCCTTGGACGAACACACGCCGCTCACCGACAGCTGGCTCGGCCACTCCTTGGTGCCGCTGCGCATCGATCACAAGAGAACGAACACATATCGATAGGACATCAGCTTAGCCTTCACGTGTCGATCACACACACACACACACACACACACACACACCACGCCGCACATAGCACACGATGTGTGGGGAGAGCGCACTAGGCCGAAAGTTCGATCTTGGATCGCGGGTAGGCGGCCAGGCTGCAGAGGAGAGCAACGTTCTGGCCCTGGAGCCAAGCCAGCGTGCCCTCCCAGATCGGTTTGGTCGACTGTGCCACCCACGCAGCCAGCCACGTGTGAGTGAACGCGGAAGAATGGAGGAATGTGAAGAATGGAGGAGTTACGGATACTGTCTGCAGCGCGCCGGGCATTCCGACGGGCGAAGCGCCACCGGTCTGCTGCTGCGGCGGAGGGCCGCCGCCGGGGGTCGGGATGCCGCCGGCGCTGTTGGTGAGGTTGATGACCGTCGGCGGCGGCTTCGGTGCGCCTACCACTCCGGCCACTCCCACGCCGGCGTTGCCCATGGCTACCTGCGGCGGCAGGCCGCGTTTGTCGACAGTGGGCGAGGCCATGCTGCCGCCTCCTCCGCCTGGCGCCCCGGGGTTGACGCCGGGGTTGAGCCCAACGGTGGAGGGCACTCCGCCGCCGCCGCCGAGTGGTGCGTTGCCGGGGATGAAGGGACCACCCGGGTGGGGCGCGCCCAGGGGCGAGTTCATCCCGCCCATCCCGCCCATCTGTTGTGCTGTCGGCCGCGGCCCCACGTCCGTCTTGGCCTTTTTCATCGCCGGCTGATATGACGCACTTGAGTCAGACCACGACACACGACACACAAAAGCACAAAGCAATGACTTGGGAGATGATGAACCTGCATGCCGGTGGGTCCCAACGAAGGGGACATCCCGGCGGCCTTGGCGGTCATTGCCGCTCGCATGGCGGCCGCAGACGCTGCCGAGGCCATGGGCGGAACTGCACACCCACCGCCGACCGCCAACGCATTAGAAGAAGAAGAAGAAGAAGAAGAAGAAGAAGCAGAAGAAGAAGAAGAAGAAGAAGAAGAGATGCGGGGCAGGGATCAGAACCTCCAGCAGGGTTGCCGACCGGAACGCCGGAGGCGCCGATGACGGGCATGGCGCCCGGCACGCCTCCGCCACCGCCAGTCACTCCGACCATGGCTGCCCCTGCGGGCACGCCCACCGGAAGTCGCGAGGGCGATGTGTTGGCGACCACCGGCGCGGCGCCCAGCGAGCCCATGGGCGGCGCCACGGCGGTGGGCGGAGCCATGGTGCCCACGGGCACATTGCCGCCCACCGCCGTGGCCGCCGAGATGGCAGCAGCTGAAGGAATGTTCGGAATGCCTGCGGGGGCCGTGGGCATCGTCCCGCCCAGCACCCCGGGGGCGCCGGCGGCCGCGGGCACGACCATGGCGGGCGGGGCCACCGGCACAGCCGCAGGGCCGCCCATCGTCACGGCAGGAGCGGTGGCCGCGGCCGGCGGTGCCGACGCGGAAGGGGCGGAGGAGGTGGGAAGTGTCGACACGATCTTGAGGCCGCGCAGCAGCACCATGTGCGGCACGTCGGGCTTCGACCCGCGACTTTCGGCCCATCCGGGGATCGTGGCCTATTGTAGCACGATATGTGCACGATATCGTGGACACAGGGGAGCGATGGTCAGCTGACGTATGCCACGACGCGTCCTACGAGGAGAAGAGGGGATAGAGGAGGTCTGCCGGTACCTTCTGGAAGATCTCGGCGAGCTCGTTGAGCTGCCGCGGCGAAATGACCGACAATGCGATTTGGGCCTGGACGCGCAATGTGAGCTGGAAGCCGGCACGCGAACAAGATCTATAGAGTGCAGCTGGAGGGCGTGGCGACCTTGGGGAACGTGGTCGCGATGTCGGCGGCAGTGCTTCCCAGCGGCTGGCCCGGGATGGAGTACAGTCGCGCCGGTATTCCCTATGGAAACACACACATTCCCAATGTCAGCGAGACCACATCCCAACATCAGCGTCATCATCATCATCATCAAGGCATAGCAACCTGCTGGTAGGGAGCGGTGTTGGAGACCAGCACGAAGTAGCGCTCCTTCGCCATGCGCTCATAGCTCAACTGTCGTGGCAGAGCCAACCAATGGTTATCAGTCGATCACGTCAGTCCACCTCGCCGAGCAAGAACTGAATAACTCTCGCATCAATCGCCGCATGAAGGGGTACGCGCGTACGTTGAAGGCAGCGGCGAAGGCCTCGGCGAGGGGCACTGTCTGGTGTCCGCCGGCGGCAAAGTCGAGGCGGTCCATCCACGACCCGAACTGCTTGGGGTCTCGCGTGAAGCCCGACACGCGTACCACGTAGTTGCCCGCTGGTGGGTAGTCCCTGAAGGCCACCATGGCCAGCTCGAGCTTCTCCTTTTTGCTCGCGCTCTGTTCCACCACCGTACTGTACCACCCATTTTATAAAATAGAATATTTCTGATTTAGATTAATTTATATTTTGGGGCGGCGTAGAATTGATTGCGCACCGAATGAGCGGATCAATGTAGGCATCGCGCAGCACGGGGAGGTGGGGTCCCATGGCCGCCGTTGTGTCCACAATGAACACTAGATGCCGCACTGTTGCCGTCATCTCCCAGAACACCAGCAGCTTTTTTTGATTTTTCCATTATTTTCTTTATTGCTGGGTCGACGGGGCATTCTTCTCAGTTTTACTGGAATCTGGGAAATCGCGATGAAAGTGCAATCCAATTTCAAATATCTGAGGAATGTGGTGGGTACGACACAGCACAGCGTTTGTTGGCGGCCAAGGTCTTTCACATCTCGATCCCACACAGGCGCGCATTCTGAGCTCGCGATTTCTGTCTGTAACCGCAGACAACGCGTTACTCCCCTCCCACTCAATCAATCACAGTAGTAGCGCTACTCACCATGGCCACGCCGATAGCACAATCCATCTTTGCCGCCCCAACCAACAGAAACGTATGTTATCTCATTTCATTGTGCCTTCACTTCTACCATTGTGCCTTCAGGTACTCGCATTTACACCCGCATCCTCAATCCTTGCATGTTTGGCCCACAGAAACCTCTCGTAGAGTTCAAAGCGGGCAAGATGCTGATCAGGGGCAAAATGGTGATCCCTGACAAGCGAAAGGGCAAAATCGAACTCGCCCAGAGCCCTGACGATCAGCTCATGCACTTCAGGTGGAAGGACAGATCCACTGGCCAAGTAGAAACTGTAACCCTCCCCTGCCCTCTCCTCCCTCTCTCCTACTCGTTTGCTGCGCTCGCACTGGTCAAGTAAGGCGCTCAGCTGACACCACGCTGTGTCGCACCCAGGACCTGATTATCTTCCCCGATGAGGCCGTGTTCAAGAAGGTGAAGCAGTGCACCACTGGCCGCGTCTTCCTTCTGGAGTGGAAGAGCACCGAACGGAGACTGTTCTTCTGGATGCAAGAGCCATCCGACGAGAAGGACGCCGAGCTGTGCGAGAAGGTCAACAAGGCCCTCAACAGTCCTCCCGCCGCTGAAGGTGCGCGCGGCAACTTGCTTCAACACGCTACCACACTTAGCTCTTCATCTTAGAAGCAAACAAATGCTGACTATGCGCTTTTATAAACCATGCAGGAGGTGAGGCCGGCGCTGGTGGCGTGCCGGGTCTGGCGGGAATGAGCCAGGAGCAGCTGTTGGCCATGATGGGCATGGGTGGCCTCGGCGGTATGGGCGGCGGCGGTGGTGCTCGCAGAGGATCGGCTCGCGGTGCTGCCGCGGCCTCGGCTCCTCCCTCGGGCGCCCAGCCTGCTGCTGGCGGCGCGCGCTCGGCCGCCCCCACTCCCTCCACGCCCGCTCCGACCACAACTGCTCGGTCGACCGACGCCTCAATCGGCGAGCAGCAGCTGCAGAACATCCTCCGCGAGCTGGGTGCGGCACAGGGCGGCGGTGCCGGCGCCGCTGGTGGCCAGGCGCCCGAGGACGTCGACCTGAGTTCGGTCATGACGTCGGAGGCCCTCCTCCCACTGCTCAGCAATCCGGCCGTGGCCGAGCAGCTCCTGCCCTATCTGCCCGAGGGCCAGCGGAACCCCGAGGAGCTACGGGAGCTGGTGCGTTCGCCGCAGTTCCACCAGGCGCTCCAGGCCTTCAACTCGGCCCTCCAGTCCGGCGCCCTGGCCGACGTGCTCCCGGCGCTCGGTCTGCCGGCCTCGGCCGCCGGTGGCGGCGTGCAGGACTTCCTTCGCGCCCTCCAGGAGCAATCGCAGAGGCAGAGCGGCGGCCAGCAGCAACAGCAGGGAGGCTCACAAGGCGGCAACGAGCCCGCAGGCGGCGAGAAGAAGGACGACAAGGATGGCAGCAGCGGCAAGGACGGTGACATGGACACCTCCTGAAGCGTGTCCCATCGCTCCTCCTCTCACTCTCCCCCCCCCTTGTTGGGTTGTACATTCCAGCAACCAGAACTTCTCAAACATTTGCTCTCTTCTTTTCGAACGCCTCTTTGCAGCGGCCGAAACCAGATCTCAAGCAGTCAAGGCACGTGCCGCAGCTGCCCGGCTGTTGCACGGGGGCGGGTGTTTGGTGTGCGCAGGAAATCCGCTTCACAGAGAAGCAATCAGGTCAGAAGACCACTTCATCTCTCTGCCGCCACTGCAAAGAAGCCACTAACCACAACATGTCAAACACGACTCTGGCCACTTCCCCGACCACAACTTACCTCGGCCGTCAAAGTGAAGGCCTTCCTCGCGTCCTCCTGGTGATATTCATCGTCTTCGCATCAGTTCTCCACTCACCTGGTTCGCAGTCGTCATCATCTTCATCCCTCTCTTTTTTCGTGCTTCGCCTTTAGCTTTCGTTCTTTTCTTCGTTTTCGTTCTTCATTTTTTTACCAGCCGGCGTTGACGATCGGTGGTGCTCAGGGACCGGAGCGGAGTCGCTGCCCCCAACGATCGAGTGGGCGGAGCCGGCCGATGGCCACTGGTGGGACCCACTCAGCTGGCGCGATGCGACTACCGGCTCTCCGCGCGTGCCCACCGCGCACGACTCGGTCCTCATCTCCACCTTCCCCAACCAGACCTACAGCGTCATCGTCGACGTGCGTGTTCTCCCCCTCCCCCTTCCTTCTCATCACCACCACCCGACGTTCTTGCCTTATCTCTTCCCAGGCTACGTCATTCCGCACCTGGATTATGTCGACTTCATCACTTGGAGGAGACATGATTGGCTGATCTTAATGCTTGGCTCCAAAACGGCGAGTAGGCACTCCAAACGGGGCAGGAGCTGCGGGTGGCGTGGCTCACCGTGGGTTCCAACTACTCCCTGACCGACTGCTGCGATAAGAGCTCGGGCCTCGGCAATGCCGGGTGCTACGCCGCCCTGGTCCTACGCGGAGGTCATCGTGCCCCACCAATGTCCCGTGTTTGACAGCTTCTCTCTGTGACAGAGCTTGTCGTCTTGATGCAGTGAGCCTGACGGTGGAGCAGGAGCTGGTGGTGGAGTCCTACGGCGTGGTGCGGTTCACCAGCCCTCTCGTGGGCGCTGAAGCCGCCGAAAACGGCTCCCTCTGGTTCGTGACATGTTGCCTTGCATGCTTCTCCTGCTGGTCTCACATTGTCCGTGTGTCGCACGTGTGATCGTGTGCTGTCATGTCGCGTCGTGTGGTTGGCGGGCTGGTCGCGATGCAACAGCACGGTGACGTCGCCTTTAACCACGATCGCGGGCTGGGCACAGGGCAGCGTTACCTTCAACGGCAACGTCGAAGTCAAGTCCCTCGCCAAATTACTACTTTGCATGCCTCTCCAACATACATCTACTGCCCATCATCTCCCGTGCGTTCCATGGCACTCACGACCTAACACCACGACACACAACACACGGCTACACAGGTGACCATGCTCACCCTCTACGCCGACGCCACGATGCAATACACGTGGGCCAGGTGGCTGGTGGAAGGCAACCTGACCGTGGAGCTGCAGACAACGTTCGAGCTTTACAGTGCGCCGCCAGACAACTTTACTCTTCTCAAACCTGGCGCACGCTCACCTTTCGTGATTGTACCGCTTTCTGTCAATCATCATCAAAACCAGTTCCAGAAAACTACACCGCCGCAACCGACCCCGTCGCGCAGATCAAGACGGTCAACCTGATCCTGCGCAAGCCGACCGCCCCTGCGCGGAAGAGAGGCCTCGTCCCTGCTCAGATATGCATCTTCAAGGAGGTCGAAAAGGTGATCAACATCCCCATCTCGGGCTGGCCGCCCATTGAGCCGCCCTCCCTCTTCTTCTTCGACAACTTCACCGGCGGACTGTACGCCCCTCCCCGCAGGACACGACACACACTCGATACAAGGTAACTAATGTTTGCCTACAGGCCGAAGGATTTCCCTACATCCTACGGTAGGTATCGTGCATTGCCGACGTTGGAGATTCAGGCGCCCAAATGCGTGTGGTATTGCTACAACCCGTGGGACCCTCGTGCGTGTCCCCTTTCCCTCTCTTTCCATTGTCATTTCGCTCTTTGTTAACCATCTCCGGCCTAATTGGTGTGTGCGTGTGTGTGTGGGTGTTGTGTGCAGAACCCTTAAATTCTGAGCCGTGTTCGGTGAGCTCGTCGCACTCGTTCTCGACCCTCCTGGGCGTTGACTCTGGCTACTCTGGGTGTAACTGCCCTCCCGGGAGGTCAGGCTCCCATTGCCAGAACGGTACGAGTTACCAAGTCGCCCCCCCCCCAAACCCCATTGTGCACGCTCACTCCACTGACTGGTTGTGTTGCGGTACCGTTCCCAGTCTACTGCCCCGGCACTCCCGCGTGCAGCGGGCGCGCAATCTGCGACGATTCGACGGGCTCACCACGCTGCCCCTGTCCCGTGGGCTGGACCGGCTTCGCTTGCGAGATTCGTATGAACACGCACAAACACAACCCCCCCCCCTCCAATCACACAACACGCACACCGTAGTGTGGCTGATCGATGGCGGGGCTGTGTGTCTCAATCACAGCGGATTGCCCTGGAAGTCCGGCGTGCTCTGGCAATGGCCAGTGTGTGAGCACGGTGGCAGTGCCCTTCTGTCGATGCCACGCCAATTGGACCGGGCCAGCCGGCCAGCCCAACGATTGCTCTGGTACCACCACACCACAACCTCACCACTCAGTTTTCTTTGTCTAAACATCAGACCGTGATCCTGTAACAGTGCCGATCTGCAGCAACAACTGCACGAGCCCGGCCAACGGGGTGTGCACGGCGGCCGACACTGGCGCGCCGCACTGCCAGTGCCTCACGGGCTGGACACTCGGACCCGACCTCGACTGCTCCACCCGTACGTCACCGCACACTTGAGATTGGCTGGTCTATGGGGTTGGAATTTTAACGATATGCGGGTGTCGGGTGCAGCATACTTCAAATGTCCCGGACGAGGCGGAGTGCAGTGCACAGCCCATGGCGAGTGCAACAGCACGTCGGGCCAATGCACGTGTGACCAAGGCTGGCGTGGTCTCGATTGCTCACATCCCGACTGTCCCGGGTACACTCTAGCAATATTCTCTCTTCTGTTTTGGTTTGTTGCTATGCAACCGTCTCACTGTAAACTGAACCCAGAACGCCGGACTGCAACCATCGTGGCGAGTGCGTGGCTGTGAATGTCAGCGGAGTCATCGAGCCCCAATGTCGGTGCAGCTCCGGCTGGACCGGCGCCGATTGCTCCGTCGGTACGACTGGTGGGCGCCCTGTGGTTGGTTGGTGCTTCAGTCGTACTCACGCGATTGGTTGGCGGCCACGCCGTAGCCGAGTGTTCGCTGGGCGACGGCTGTTCGGCGAACGGCAAGTGCGTGGAGGTGGGACTCGACCCGCCGCGCTGCGTGTGCTCGGCCGGCTGGACCGGCGTCAACTGCTCCGTCGCCCTGACCGACTGCGCCGCCACTTCGCATTGTGCCGCCGCCAGGTAACGAACGCGCTCTTGTTCACCTCTTACTCTCACAAGCATGAGAAATGTCAACATTCCATAAACGTTGCGCACATACAGCTGCGTGGGCGACGCGACCAAATCGTGCACGGCCTGCGATGGCGACTGGCGCGGGGCCGACTGCAACACGCGTACGAATCATCTACCCCCCCCCTCACAACAGGCTGCTCACCGACTGCACGATGGACCTTTCCTCACCACCATTGCCCAATCGGTGGCGCAGCGTACTGTCTGGCGGCGAATGACTGGAGCGTGTTCCCCGAGTGCTCCGGCCATGGGTCGTGCTCGGTGGCCGAAGGCAGCGATCAGCCGGCTTGCCAGTGTCGAACCGGTTGGCTGCCTGGCCCTGCCAACGACTGCGTAACTCGTACCTCCTTCCCCTACTCTCCGCATCAACCGCAACACGACACACCACGCACACGGCCCGTGGCACTCACGTTGATCTGTTGTAGCGGCGTGTGAGGCGGAGGAGGGGCAAGCCGAGTGCTCGGGCCACGGCGTGTGCTCTACCGAGGTGGCCAACCCGACGTGCCTGTGCGACGCCTTCTTCTACGGCGACTCCTGCTCCATCTGTACCTCCACCACTCAATCTGCCATCAAACCAGGCCACACAGACCTAACCGCACACGCACACGCACACGCACACAGCGCGCGCGCACACACACACACACACACACACACACACGCATACGGGCGCACAGTTGAGCTGTCGTGTCCGGGCTCGCCTGCCGACTGCACGGACAGCGAGCACGGCACCTGCGTCAATGGCACGTGCCAGTGCGCCGACAAGTGGCGCGGTGCTGACTGCTCCGTGGTGCGGTGTCCGGGCGCCGAGGAGAACTGCAACGGGCGGGGCACCTGCGACTCGAGTGTCGAGCCCGCCCAGTGTCGCTGCGACAAGCACTGGACCGGCCCCGACTGCGGCACACGTACGCAGCACCATCACACACGCACGACCACACACTTCACACACAGCACACGCTGCACATTCAACAGCTGCTCACGACCCACACCTGCTTTACAGCGGTGTGCCTGTCTGGTTGCTCGCGGTACGGAAGGTGCAGCGGCGACACAGACCCGCCGCAGTGCGTGTGCCAGCCCTTCTGGGGCGGACCGGACTGCTCCGAGAGCCAAACGCAGGGCAGCTCGTCGGACGACAGCTCCATGACGGCCTACGCTGCCATCGGCGGAGCCCTCGGCGGTACGCGCACATCATCATCTGCTCAGCATCCCCCCCTTGTTTCTGTGGCGACTGACAATGCTGCGCAGTGTGTGCGAGGAACAGGCGGGGCTGTGCTGCTGATCGTGGGCGTGATCGGAGCCTACGTCGTGTTCAAGGCTGTCAACGCCTACAAGGACTACCAGATCAACAAGGGCCTACGAACAGGTCGGGTCAACTTTGGAGGTGATGATGGGCTATGAGAGAGAGACCATATTGTTGGAAAAATGATGCGTGTATGAATAGAATGGAGAGAACAGTAAGTCGTGTGGGTAGCTCGGGAGAGGTTGTTAGAGGTCGTGCATGGGCAAGGTGGCTTTGCGGGTCGCGTTTTCTCGGCCGCGCTGCTTGACGAGGGCCACGCCCACGAGCAGCAGCGAGATGAAGGCGAACAAGGCAAAGATGGGCAAAATTACGGTCAAGCAGACGATGAGCACGATGTCCTCGCCACCGCGCCTGCCCGTGCTGGGCACTTGCACGCCCACATCTGCGAGAGAGCAAACGTGTGTCAGTGACCGTGTTGTGGCCACCCAGGAATGTAACCGCGACTGGGAGTGTGTACCGGGATCGTAGACCAGTGTCGACTCAAAGTAGTTGAAGTAGAGCATCAGCTCCGAGGAATCGGTGTTCATCAGGAAGCTCACGCCAGACTCCACCTGCTCGCCGTCGATCTCGACCGTGTTGAGCAGCCGCAGCGCCGACGTCGTGTTGGGCTGGCCCGCGACGGCAGGGTACTGGCCCGCGAGCACGTAGGTGGTCACGTTGGGCGTGTTGGTCTGCTCCACGAAGCTCGTGAAGGGCGGGTCGATCTTCATGTGAAACTCGATCCTGTGGTCTTCCGGCGACGAGCGCCACGGCCAGTCAAAGATGCGGATGGTGAACTTGGCGAACGACGGCAGCGCATTGAAGGCCACGTTGCCCACCGAAAGCTGCGTCTCCGAGTTGAACATGTAGTACTGGAGCTCGATGCGGGCCTCGTTGGGAATGTTGACGCCCAGCGCGGTGGTGGTGTCGATCCCGGCGGAGAACAGGTACGACGCGGAGGCGCCCAGGTCGTTGTCGACAACCTGCGACCACGACCCATCGCTGACGGCGCCGATCACGACGACGATGTCCTCGTCGGTAAGCTCGAGCATCTGTGCCAGGCTCACGCTCACTGTCGTGTCACTCTGCACGTTTCCCTGGTCGTCTGTAACACACACACACACACACACACAACACACACCAACACACAATACACACACAACACACACAACACACAGGTTGGAGCACGGAAAGTCAGCAACCGGCAGTTGCGTGGCAACCAGCAGCACAAACTCAAGCTTACCTTTGGGCACGATGACCACCTCGGAACTACCGAGAGTGAACTGCAGCACGGGAACCGTCACCTCGTCGGAGGGCTCCGACTCGAGGTAGAGGGGAGACGCGCTGGGCGTGACCGATGTGGTGGGACTCGACGTGGGCGTTCGGGAACTGGTCGGGCTCGCGGTTCCAGTAGGCGACGGAGTGCGTGAACTGGTGGGCGACTGGGTGGGCGACTGGGAGTTCGACGGCGTGCTGGTGGGCGTCTGAGATGGGGAGGGCGAGGAGGTGGGTGTGGTGGTCGGCGTTCGTGTGGGCGATGGGGTGGGCGTGTTGGTCGGACTAGGTGTGGGAGTGGTGGTCGGCGTGGTGGTCGGCGTGCTTGTGGGCGACGAGGTGGGCGAGTTGGTCGGGCTCGGTGTGGAGGTGGGGGAACTCGTCGGCGAATTCGTCGGCGAGTTGGTGGGCGAGTTGGTGGGCGACGGCGTCTGCGTGGGCGTGACAGAGGAGGTCGGCGACTGGCTGGGGGAGTTTGTGGGAGTAGTGGTCGGGCTCGTCGAGATCGACGGCGTCGGCGAGTTGGTGGGCGTGGTGGTGGGCGTGATGGAGGGCGTGACAGTCGGCGAAGCGGTGCGCGAGGGCGTCGGAGAAGGGCTGGGCGGTGTGCAGGTGTAGTTGATCTGCATGGTGAAGGCCCAGTTGATGGTGTTGAACGTGCCCGAGGTGGCGCACAAGCGCCCCGTGTTGCACATCACCCCATTGGCCAGGGCGTTGGTCGAGGGCACGTACCAACTGGCGCCGAACCCCGACACCGGGTGCGAGCCGTTGGCGCAGAAGACCAGGTAGTAGGTCTTGGCCGGGTCCAGCGTGGGTGGATCGGGGAAGACCGGCATGTGGAACACGTTGTTGGTGGGCGAGCTGCCCAGCACCGTGTAGTCGCCGACGAGCACCTCGGCGATGACCCGGGGGGAGGCGGTCGGGTCGATGATGTGGGCGTAGATCGGGTACACGGGGTAGGCGATGCCCAGGCGCAGGTAGTACCCAAAGCTGTAGACTTTGGTGAGCCCCGTGTAGGCGTTTCCCACGCAGGTCGCCCAGTCCGGACCCAGGTAGCCAAAGTCGTCGTTGTAGGGCTGGAAGTCGAAGAGGGTCGAGTTGGTGGACGAGCAGGGATCGGGGGACATGGCGCTCCACCCTTCCGCGGCGGGGATCACCACCGCGGCCATCACCGCGAACGCGGCAGCCACAGAGATGAAGATGCTCCCTAGTGAATTCGCTCGCATTGGACTCATCTTCATCTTCGTCTTCGTCTTTGACCTTCGGCAGATGTTCGGGAACCCGACCGTAGGATCACGTTCGAAACCGAAGAGAACGAACAGGTTTTTGATACCTTTCTTCTTCTAGTTTCCGATTTCTTTCCTTTTCCATACCCAAACATGTTTGCCTTATCTGCAAAACCATCAAAATAAGGTTTTTTTCTCAAACGGGGTCAAAGCGCTGATGTCTCTCTCTCTCTGGTGGTCTAGCAGCAGCCGCAGGCCTTGCAGGTGGACCACAGGCGGAAGGAGTTGTGGCCCCAGCCCCACACCTTGATGGCGCACTTCAGGTTGCTCTCCAGGTCGCAAGGGGCATGTCCGCCATTGCTAAACATGGGGAACACAAGAGAGTGGTAACGCTTCAGCGACTTGCCACCGAAAGGTCATAAAGAAAACAACAAAGGAAAAACATATATATGCAATTTAGAATTGAAATGAAGTGAAGGTCGCACCAAGAGCTCCAGTTCATGTCGTTGATCTGCCATAGGCCGACATCATTGCTGCCTCCGCGGTTGTGGTTGACGGCGTGCAGGTTGCCGCCGCTCTCGTGGCGAATGATGCACTCGCAGCACGACTGGCTCCACCCATTGAAGCGACGGCAGGCCGACGCAACGTCCGTGTAGGCCGGGGTAGTGCCGCACGGGCAGCTGTTGCAATTGTTCGACGGACAGTTTCCCTGTGTGCCGTGTGGTGTGGGCGAGACACTCCTGGTTAGCCCGCGTGTGCGTGTGCGGTGGTTTTAATTATTGTTTTAGGGGCCACTTACGCCGCAGCGGTCGGCCAGTACGGCGGGCAGGCACAGGAGCAGCACGAGCCCCAGCGCGGCGAGCAAGACGGTCGAGGGAAGCTTCATCATGTTTGGTGGTGGTGGTGAAGAAGAGGGCGACAGACAACTCTGCGTTTAATACACAAAAAAACAAACTCCGACGGTGCGCACGCGTTTGCAGTTTCTCTTGTCCGACCGCCATTGGGGAGAACGAGCGTGTGAAGATTCCGCCGCACGCAAGCGCTCGCTTTCTGGTCTGGCGCGAGGCTGAGTGGTGTGGTTCAGGGGATGGGAGGGTCAGTCGTCGAGGAAGTCTTCATCGTCTTCGTCGAGGCCCAGCAGGCTGTCCATCTTGCGCGACAGATGGCTCAGGCCGAACACGCCGGCCATCCAAATCGACTGCGCCACCAGTGAGACGCAGTGCGCCCGAAACCCTCGATACAACCCTGCGTGTGTGGCGATGTCAGCAAAGACGCAAATCTGTGTGTGTTGTGTGTGCGTGTGTCGTGCGTGTGTCACCCACTGCCGTACCTGAAAAGCCCTCGTCGTCCAGGACTGATCTCAAGCATGAGACGAGGCCGTCGTGGCTCACCTCGCACAGCGAGCTGCAGCCCTGCGCTTCCAGCCTGTACCGCAGCGTCGACAAAGGAAACGCCAGCGTACGCCCGAGGAACCTGGAGGTTTGACGCCGCGCGCGATTATGTGAGTTGCCGTGTGCCGTGTGCCGTGTGCCGTGTGCCGTGTGCCGTGTGCCGTGTGCCGTGTGCCGTGTGCCGTGTGCCGTGTGCCGTGTGCCGTGTGCCGTGTGCCGTGTGCCGTGTGCCGTGTGCCGTGTGCCGTGTGCCGTGTGCCGTGTGCCGTGTGCCGTGTGCCGCCTGCATACCCGGAAAAGAATCGGAGGGAGGCGATGGCGAGATTCCTTCGTATCTTGGTGGCCTTGCGCGCTTGCCGGCTCTCCAGCATCTCATCCACCTGCACCAGTCGCACTACAAAACGTCGCAACACACCACATTGCGGTGAGGAGGAAGGAATTGAGAGTGTGCGGCGCGTGCACGTGTTGTGTGCGGCGTGTGCGTGTGTCTTGTGTGTTGTGTGCGGCGAGGGTGTATACCGAGAGGTTGCGGCGGTGGGAAGAGATTGGGGAAATGGCGCTGGAGCAGGGGCAGGCTGGCTCGGTAGACGAGCTCGCTCAGCCAAAAGTCGGCCAGCCCAGAGACGACATGCGCCCAGTAGCTCCGCCCGTAGACGGAAGCCTCCCGCGAAGGCATCACCGCGATAAACGATTCCCGAATTCCGTCGGCCAACAACTGGTGCGTGCGTGTGCGGTGGTGCGTGTGCGGTGGTGCGTGTGCGGCTTAGTGTACGTGTAGGGACGGACGGTTGCGAGTGGAGGTACGCGTACCTCGCCCTTTACGAGAAAAACGGTGCGAACGATAGAGAAGGGATGCGACACTGCCACAACACTGCAAGAGAGCAAGTCAGGTCACACCTCATAATAAAAATAACAATAATAACAAAAATTACAAGTACAAAAACAAAACCAAAAACCAAAAACGAAATCGTGAATACCAATAAATAAATAAATAAAAAATGATAATGAAATACGATATAAAACGTGGGCGCGCACAAAGGATAGAGAACGGAGCGGACTGCGCCGTAGAGGACCCAGTCGAAGGAGGCGGCGGGAGAAGAGGCGGAGGCGACGACCAGAGCAGTGGGCGGGAGGAGCGGAGAAGTGGGAGGAGAAGGCGGCGACGGAGCGGGAGACGCGGAGAGGCGGGGCACCAGCGAGAGACAGCCCTTCACCAGCTTGTGCGCCCGGTCCGTCAACCAGAGCAGCAACCAGCCCTGCACGACCGCACACGACACAACAGGATTAATGCTTCTACTTCTCGAGTGTGCGTGTGGCGCGTGTGCGTGTGTATGCGTGTGCGGTGGTGCGTGTGCGGTGGTGCGTGTGCGTTAGAAAGTCTAACGGGGGACGGGGCGCACCTCGATGGCCTGGTAGAGGAACATGAAGAGGGAGGACCGGTGCGGCAGAAGCCAGACCTCCGCGAACGACTTCCGCTGCCTGCTCTCCGGCGTCCGTGGCGGGGCTGGAGCTATAGCGAACAGCAGTAGACAAGTGAGCGCGTGCCGCGTGCCGTGTGCCGTGTGCCGTGTGCCGTGTGCCGTGTGCCGTGTGCCGTGTGCCGTGTGCCGTGTGCCGTGTGCCGTGCGTGTCTTGATGTGCTAAGAACGAAGGGAGGCACAGACCCCACAGGTATTCCCAGAGGCCATACAGCGAGTCGCTCGGTTGACGAAAAGATGCAGCCTGTGCCGTATCGTGACCGTGTTGAACACGCCTGCACCGCACGCAAGAGCCGACGTCACAGCAGCACGCGGATCATGAGCCATGCATGCATTCAATATTTGTAGAATCATAAAATCGCAGCTGCCATCTCAATGAAATCTGAATTCTGCGTAAGAGATGGAGAAAGAGAGAGATGAGAGATGAGAGGCACCAGTGACGGGCTGTATGCCCAGGAGCACGTCCCAGGGAATGGAGGGCGGGCCGCCAGTGGCGCCTGTGGCCAAGGGCCGGCCAGCCCCCAGCCCCCAGGGCCTGCCTGGAGCGCCAATGCCATCGAAGCCGCTCTCGCGACCCTCTAGCCGCGCAGCAGCGTTCGGATTCCCCACCCCTGCGCTCCTCATCTTTAGCTCCAAATCAATAAATGTGAATTATTTTTTTTATGTAAAACAATAAAAAGGAAAAGTAGCCGTTACGAAAAGCAAAAAGGTTGTAAAAAACATAAGAAGAGAAGATGAAGAGGCGAAGGCATGAGGTGGTCGACTTGTCTCTGCTGCCGCCTATCGAAACGCTGATACCGGATGAACTCAAGAATTACACAAAGGAGGAGCTCTCGGCGTACCTCGAAAGCAAAGGTAAAGTAAAATCCCCCCAATCAATTATTCAATCTCACGAGAATTGATCTAATGAGAAGTGGAGATTAATTGATATATATTTAAAAAATATCATTTTGTTGACGCCGCATGTGCAGGCATCCAGCCGAAGGTGACAAAGCCGGAGATGAAGCGGCAGATGCGGCTGGTGCTGCAGGCCGTGAAGGAGAATAAGCCCGAACTCATCGTGCAGCTCCAGAACGATGCCCTGCGCGAGATCATCGAAACGCCACGCAAACTCAGCCGCCCCGTCGACTTTCCTCGCGTACGCCCAACCATCTTTCCTCATGCTGTGTGCGCGGTGTGCGCGATGTGTGTGGTGTGTGTGTGTGTGTCATGTGTCGTGTGAGCGGCGTGTGTGCGGCGTGTGTACAGTGTGGTGTGTGTTCCGTGCTAGCACTAACCCGTGTGCATGGCTGCGCAGCCACACCTGCCGGCTGGTCTGCAGATTCCGATGGCCGCGGCTGCGGCGGCCGCTGCGGTGCAGGAGGGCGACGTGGCCATGTGCAGCGGACCCGGGTGCCGCAAGAAGGCCAACCGCGAGTGCGACTTCCTCCGCTGCCGGTCCTGCTGCACCCGCAACGGTTCCCCCCTCCCCCTCCCGCACGACACGACACACACGACACACGCACTCACCGTGGCACGCGCGCGCGTGTGTGTCGTGTTAATCAGGGTATCTGTGCTACATTCACATGAACGACGTGCAGCGGCGGGGCAACGAGTCGCACCTGTACCGCGAGCATCCGTTCGTGAAGGGCACGGCCGAGGTGGGCGCCTACCTGCCCCTGGGCCAGCGCCGCGCCCACCGCGAGTCCATCGCACAAGGCACCACTGCCCCCCACCACCTGAAATTTTAAATATGTGCTGACGTCAGCAATGCCCAACACCACACACGCACACGCACACACACGACACCAGCGATCGTGAGCGGCGGCCAGGTCTCGGCGTCGGGTCTCTCGACGTCGCAGGCCTCGCGTACCACCTCCACCGTCGGCGCCCAAGCCCAACCCGCCGAACCCACCCAAAGGTACGCTCTACCGCGCCGTGCGTGTCGTGTCGTGTCGTGTCGTGTGCGACGGTCCAACTAACCAAAAAGCGCAGAGGGCCGACAGAGAGTGTGAAGGAGCGGATGGTGTGGATGGAGACGTGTCCCGGGTGCGGGGTGCCCGTGGCGGCGGCCGGGTCGCTGTTCCTGCTCCACCTGCGGCTGTGCTGCCCCGACATCCTCGAGCGCCTGCTCGCCGAACCACACAACGCCCGCGCCATGCTCCGCCGCCCTCACGTACGACTTTTACCTCCCTCCCGCGACGACACGACACGACACGACACGACACGACACGACACGACACGAATGAAGTGTGATGAGACTGACACACGTTTCTTCTGCCCATGGGCCAACAGCAGGCGGTGGAGAGCGAGGAGGAGGCGGACGACACGGGCCTTCCAGACGCTCCCGAGGAAGAAGATGTCGAGGTACCCTCTTCACTCTGTGTCGCGCGTGTCGTGTCGCGTGTGTCGTGTGTGTGTCGTGCGGTTGCTGCAGTGGTGGAGCAAGTGCTGAAGGGGGGTTGGCCGCGCACAGGAGGAGCTGGAGCCGGTGGACAAGGCCAAGGTCAGGGCGGAGCTGCGATACAAGCGACGGAAGGCCGACCTCGGCCTCCTCTTCTCCAACGAGCCACCACTCCTCGAGGCCATCGGTCAGTCCCTCCCCGTCATCGGCTGTGTCGTGTGTCGTTGTCGTGTCGTGTGCGGTGGTGCGTGTCGTGTCTCACACGCTTTTTCTCGGTTTAAATAGGAGACACGATTCTCAATTTTGCGGAGAGGAAGGCGAGCCTGCAGCGGATAGTGGAGAAGCTGGAGGGCCTCGTTGGAGACGACGCGTCGCTGGTGGCCCTGGACGCCGAGCAGCGCCGGATCGATTCGTTCGCGGGGTACCTCGACGCCCTCGACGCCGCGGCCACCATCGACGAGGTGGCCGGGCTCGAGCAGGCCTTCGAGGCCGAGCACGGCATCATCCTCCACGCGGGCAACGTCGCCTTCAACGTCCACCGACACCAACGCGCCGCCGCCTCCACGGCCGACGACCACGGGCTCCCACCACTGGCGCCCCAGCAGCCCCGCTCGGCCGTCGCCCCTGAGACCGTCTATCTCGCCCAGCTGTAATGTGTTACAATGACGATCAAAGCTGTTGTTGGTTGTTGAGAGTGATGATACAGTGTATTGTTGCTACGTTCTGCAGAGGAAAAAAAGAGAACGTGTGTGTGACGAAAGCCAAAAAGCCGTAGTAGTGTAGGTGGTGGCTGGCGCACACACGCGCCGGCAGCGGGAAGATCGATCCGCAATCAATACTGGAGCAGTTCGACGTAGTTCGACGGGAACTTGCCATAGGCGCCCTGCGCGTTCCTGCCGTAGTACCTGCGCACAGAAAGAGAAAAGAGGGAAGAAAATAAAATGTTTCAGTCCAAACATTCCCACCACCACCACAACAGGTGGGTGGATGTTAAAAAATCATAAAAAATAAATCATGAATAAGAATGCACGCATCATGTTTCGCATACCAGCCCTCGTCGTCCTCGTCTTCGATGGTGAGGATGTCGCCCTCGGAGATGGTCAGCTCGTCCTCGTCCTCGGCCTTGTAGGCGTACAGCGCCTGTCGTGTGGCACAGACATCGATGGCCGCCCGTGAGACACACAACAGCAGCTGCTGCTGCTGCATTACTACACAACCACACAACGCACCTTGCACTGGTCAAACTTTTGTTCGCCGCCGCCGGTGGAGTCGTAGCTGTCCGACGCGCCCGGCGACATGGGCGCCGGCGTCGACAGCGAGCCGCCTCCGCCCGAGATGACCGTTACCTGCACGGCGGCCGCAGCCACAAACACGCACGGCACGCGCGCGTTAGAGCGGGGTTGGCTCCTGCCTTAAGGTGGCGCTGCCGCTGGCCGTACGTGATTGGAGGGGAAGACGCCGACGCGACCGTTGAGCTCGCCCTCCCACCAGCCGCTGTCGTCCTGGTACGTCACCTGTGGTGGTGGAAATAAATAAATGAGATTGGGAGAAAAGAAAAGAAAAGAAAAAGAAAAGATCAAGCGAGGAGAGACCTTGATGAGGGCGCCTTCGGTGAAGGAGAGCTCGTTGGGTTCGGAGGTGGTGTAGGCGTACTGGGCCTTCACCATGATCGTGGCCTCGTCACCGCCGCTCATCGGCGCCGACGCAGCCTGCACCACGACACATAACACGACACACGCGACACGACACACGCCACACGCCACATCACATCACACCACACACCACGAGACACAATCAAGACTGAGCGAGCGGGCACGAGGTAAAAAGAGGGGGCTGTTCGGGGGGGGGGCGTACCAGGGGTGAGCTGTGGTTGGAGGGGGCGGAGTAGGTCGGCGTCGATGAGGATGGCGGCGCTGATCTGGCTGCACTCGATGATGATGATGATGATGATGATTATGAACGTACGCATGACACAACACACACACACACACACACACACACACACACACACGACCGTTAGCGCGGTATCAGGCTCAGTAGGGAATTAGCCAGTGTGAGGTACTCATGGGCGCGGCGAACGAGCCGGAGCTGGCGGGAGAGGAAGTGGGGAACGACGAGAATGCTGGAGCAACGCGACGCACACGCACACGCACACAGCACGACACGCGCGTGAGCGGACAAACTTCGCGAAAAGAGCGAATCGAGATAAGTGGCGTACACTGGGAGGACCCGGGGGCGGGCTTGCAGGCGCCCAGGGCCGAATCGTAGGCCTCGTACTCGGTGCGCGGGGGTGGCGTCTTGCCTGCATTAAATTACAAATTAATATCAATTTAATTGCTGTACGACGCGTGGCGCGTGGAAGAGAGCGCACCGGTCTTGTTGCTCGAGATAAATCCACGGACATCACTGTCGACATTGATGCTGGCAGCCGCCTACGATCGCACACGCACACGCACCACCGCACACGCACACACACACGCACACGCACATGCAGCAACACGCACAACAAATGGCGTCAGCGAATGAATGGCCTGATGAAGGTCTTCGTTGGGTGTGGGGAGGGGGCATAGGTACCGAGCTCATGGCCTCGCAGGAGCTCTTGATGGCGGGGTGCACGGTGGCCTGCGCCATCACGAACGAGTTGAAGCTGGTCTTCATCATCGCCACTCGCGCCTCCTCCATCGATTGCAGCTCCTGCACAACCCAAACCCGCAACGTTGAATTAATAAAAAGAACACAGAAAAATAAGAATTAATAATTAATAGTAATTAATAATTGATGATGATAACAATAATAATCAAAAGAATAAGAGTAATAAATATATAATAATAATAATACCGCGAGAATCTGAGGCATCTCCGAGTCGTAGAAGCGGGACTCCATGTTCTTGAGCTTCTCGACTGACTTCTTGTACTCGTCATCGGCCTTCTCAGCGTTCTTCACCTCGGCCTGCAGCTTCTTCTGGTTCTGTGTTGTTTGGTTTCGTCGTCAACAACGTTTTAAAAGCTAGTTGTGTGCCGTGCGTGCCATGTCGTTGGCCGTGTCGTGTGTCGTCGTTGGCCGTATCGTGTGTCGTGTGTTGTCGTGTGTCGTTGGTCGCGCGTGTGCGGTGAGAGAGTGAATAGATGGCGAACCTTGGGGTTGGGGTCGGCGTTGGCCTCGGCCTGCACGGCGTCCTGCTTCTTGCGGGAGCCCTCGTACTTGGCCTTGGCTTTCTCCACCGTAGACTGCGCGGCCTGCAGCTGGCTCACCAGCTTCTTTCCGTTGGCCTTGAGCTGTCGACCATGCTCTATGTCAGCGTCGGCCCAAAACAACGCAAATGGCACTCATTGTATTACACAACACTCACGGAGCGCGCACACACAACACACACACAACGACACACATGTGGGTGTCGTACCTCTTTGCGGGTCTTGGCCGTTTCGGTGAGCCAGTTCTTCTGTGTCGTCTCCACTTCGGTTCCCAAACGCTCAGCGAACGTCTGATGTGGTTTTACACCGCAGTATAAGAGAAAGTAAGAGAGAAATGACATGCATGAGTGGAGTGCGGTAATAGGTTGGCGTCAATAAATATAAACATACAAAATAAATATAAAGTAAACACAACGTGAATCGCGTTGCAGACCGAGTAGACAACAGAGGAATTTGAAGAAGGTACCGAGTGAGCGTTGGCAATGGAGTCCGTTTCAGTCTTGACCACGCACCATGCGCTATCGAGCGTGCTGTAAAATGCACATCGCACACACACAAGCAACGGTCAGCGCACACACAACACACACCACACACACACACAACACACCACACACAACACGCACATATCACGGAGCAGATCGACAGGGCGTACCCCGCGTCGCCGACTTTGACGGATTTGACGAGGGCGTTGAGCTTCTTGGCGTACTCCAGCTCGATCTCCCGCCTAGGGCAATAATTATTTTAGTTTTAACCGCATTTTTTATGTATTAAAATTAGCTGAAGAGGAAAAAAGAAATAACAATTATTAAAAATATATATAAATAAAACGGCGGCTTACCGTTTCTTCATGAAGTTGTAGACCTCGGTGACGAAGTTCTTGCCCTCTCTGCCCTTGGTCGCCACCGGCGTGAAGCCATCCTGCAATGGTTGCAGCCGTATAATCGCCTCGGTAAATTGAAAATCATCATGCTAGCATGATGAAGAGTACACGCACCCATAATTCATCGGAAAATCCCATATCGGTGCAATTCAAAAATGATGGACGATTCTGAACTCCCTCTCGTGCCTGAACGACTCTCAATTAGCGAGCTCCTTCTTCCTATCTGTTGTTTTACAATAATACTCCTCACACTTATTGTCGACAATCGCTGGCCACCAACAGCAGTAACTGTCGACACTCTGGTGGTTGGTCGAACGCTGATCGCCCGTGCTTTGTGGCCAGCTTCCTCCTTCCGCCGAGAGTAACCATGCGCGCACCACTTCATACGACTTGTGTCCACACATTCTTTTTTTGTTCACACAACTACTGTTGCCGAAGGGTGCTCAGCCGGCTTGCCATTCGAGCCACTTGCCCCCGCACTTGCGCTACTCGTGCCCTACTCCCCACGTCGCCACATGCAACTCACAGCGAAACGCGACACACGCTCACATGAGACAGCCGCACGCCCTGTAGTGCTGATGCACGTGCGTCGTTTGGCTCGGCGAAATCAGCTGAATGCTCCAGGCCACGGCGTGTGCTCACCCAACGTGGCCAGCCCAACGTGCCTGTGCAACGACTACAGGAACTCCCACCCATATGTACCTCCACTCTTCACTACCCATCACTCACCTTCACGAAACACAAGCACATCACCACAGTGAGGTTTGGGTTTGTTGCGGTTGCATGCAGTTGATGGGAGAAAGAGAGACGCCTGAATGTTGTCTGTTGTATTTTTAAATGGTTAAATTCTGTAATCGCGTGCGTGTTGTCTAACCCGAATATCGAGTGAGGTCACGTGTGGACATTCGTCCTACACAATAGGGTTTGCACGGCGAACAGCGAGCACAGTGTGCGGCAAGGTTGCAGCCCCAGAAGGACTATGGCACACGCACTGCAGTCAACCTGCCATTGACGCTGCTGGCTGGTTTAAAAATCTATCTCTATCGCAGAAAAAAGGAAAAAATGGCTAGCTGGAGGGCATGATGGCTGGGCATGGTCGGCCTCGACATGCCCGAAGCGCGAGGCGGTGCTGTTCGGTCTGGTCAATAAGTGCTTGTTTTCGATTGGTGCGTCCCAACTCCGCGGGCTTAAGTGGTCGCGCCAGGCCGGCCCGGAAGGCGAATAGGTAGAGTGCCGAGACGATCGACCACGCCGCAAAGCCGGCCGCCCATTGACCCAAGTCCGCACTCTCATCTGCGTGCACCACACAAGATGCATGCACACACACGACACGACACGACACAATATCAGATCACTAGGTGGTTGTGCGGTAATGGCGTAAGAGATCTGATATGTACCCCATAGCGAGACGGCAAAGGAGCCGAGCGGCACGAGGGCCACCAACCGAACGACCTCCGACGCAAACGCCCACGATTTCCTTAGAACAGGAAAAAAGAACGAAGAACGAAGAACGAAGAGGAGAGTGAGCAACTGCACTCGGGTTCAGGCAAAATTTGGGGATGGCCTTACCGGTCGCTGATGCCTCCGATGTTGAGCAGAGTCCAGGTGATGTAGGCCGAAAACAGAGATGTATGACCGAGCGTCGAAGAGAGCCTGGGATGTACGCGCGCAAATTCAACCTTAGCTGTTGAGTTTGAGTCCGAGCAGAGAGTGTGCACGCCGGCGAGCGATTTACCGATCAATGGCAACCGTAAGCAGGACGAGCGCCCATCCGAACTGCGCCAGGATGTACCACGACACCCTGCGTCGTGTGCGGTGTGTGCGGTGTGTGCGGTGTGTGCGATGTGTGCGTGCGGTGAATAGAGCAGGGCAGTAAAAAAATGAGAGGAGAGAGAGAGAGGAAACGAACCCAGCAGGAACGCGAGGGTCATATTTGGTGGTGGAATCGGTCGAGGTGGGCGGAATCGGGTACTCCTCCGTGCCCGAGCTGGCCCCGGGAATCCAGCCCGGCCCGAAGTACAGCGTGCCCAGCTTGTTGCGCAATCCTGCCCCAGGATCAATAAATCATTAATGCATAAGTGTCCATTATAAATCATAATGTTTTAAAAAATAGCAATGTTTTTTAAAATCGACCACGAGAGGGAGAATGTACCCTTTAGGTTCAGGAAGTTAGCCCCGATGTAACGCCAATTGGTGGCGTTTGCCTCCACCGGGTTGAACGTATTGATCGGGTGCACCACGCCGTACACGATCGGAATCTGTACGCACACGCACACAGCACACACACACACACACGCGACACAAGCGTCATTGGCCAGCCCTCAATTTCGACCTTGAGTTTTGTTGGTGAAATGGGTGGCAATTGGGCGTACCTGGTCGAGCTCCTCCTGGAAGGTGCCGAACAGGCGGTCGAAGATGCACAGGGTGCCGCCGTAGTTCTTGTCGATGCAGTACACGTTCTTGCCGTGGTGCACCCTATGCTGCGACGGCGTGTTGAGCACGTACTCCAACGGCCCCAGCTTGCCGATCACTAACAGCGATCGGCAAGCCACATAAGACACGCATATAACACACACGACGCACTTGAGCGTTCATCGAGGGAAAAAGTGAAACTGAAATGATGACGATGGCGATGACGACGGTGGCGTACCAGGGGTGTGAATCCAGAACTGATAGAGGAGGTTGAACTGTGAGTGGATGACGAACAGGGCGGGAGGGAAGAACAGGGCCAGCGGCAGGTCGTATAGCCACGACACCGAGGAGTGCAAGGCTGACTGGCGCAGCGCTATAAAAATATTAAAAAAAGTCAGAAACGTAGGAAATGGGCATTCGTGTGCGCGTGTCGTGGTGTGTGTGCGTGTGCGGTGGCGTGCGTGCGTGTTACCCGCGGCGAGATTGTATTCCTCAGAGGAGTGGTGGACGCTGTGCATGGCCCAGAACGCGGCGATGGTGTGACCCTGCCGATGCAGCCCTGCGGTGGTGTACGCCACGGGCGTGGGTCCGAGTATAAGCGAACGCTGGGTTCGCAGTTGACGTCGGCAAAATAGGGAGAGGTGACGACGGCGTACAGTAGTAGGAGAACTCCTTGCCCGCGAACATGAGCCACCAGGCCAACGCGCCGTTGGTGGCGAAGGCGCGCGTGACTGCGAAATGCTCCCACACGTACACGTAGGGGAAGAACGCCAGCTGCACGACACGACACGACACGACACGACCAACGACGTGACCGAGAGTCAACACAACAGCATCACAAGGTCGCTTGGGTGGGGGGGGGCATGGGTACAGCCTTGGCGGCGAGCTTCTTGGTGAGGAGGGACAGCACGCCGAGCGAGAGCGAGCTCAGCGTGTCGTTGACCCGGTAGAGCCTGACCTCCTTGTACTTGGCCCATGCTACAATGAAAGAATATCATTAAAATGTGTTTTTATTTATTATGAATTTGATATAAAAGGAAAAAGTAATTATTGCGTTAAAAAAACAGAAAATGCGTACCGGCCTCGGCGAACATGGAGAGGAGGAAAATGGGCACCCACAGGTCGACGTAGTCCGTGACGCTGGCGAGGTCGGACTTGTCCGGCAGGGCCTCGTACTCGGCCTGGAGGTACCACAGGAACCAGGCGTGTGCCGCCACCACGAGCCCGGCCGCCACCACCTGCGGCCCGCCCCGCAGCGCCAGCTCCCTTTTGTTATTGTCAGCACTGCCTGCCTGCATTGGGGGGAGCTGCATATTGGGGGGGGGGGAGCTGCAGCAGTCGCACTGTAGTGGGTTGCTGAAGGACGTGGAGCCGGCGGACGTCGCCGTCCGCGTGGCCGCTTCCTTCGCCTTGCGAGTCATGTTGGGGTGCAAAGGTTGAAGGTCAGTGACTTCTTCAATCTCGCTGTCTTCAGCCTCGGCCCGAACCAACAGAAAGGGCGGACCCAAAACCACCCGGCCCGCGTGGTTGGCTCTAAATGCCCGCGATGTGGGTTCTGCGCCTGTCGTGGCCCCAGTAGAAGAGAAAGAAGGAGACGGGCATGTACAGCTGCTTTTTTTTATTTGTGAGCCCCTGACAAACACCACTTGTATGATCATATCACGTGATAAGGGGGAGCACACCACCTCTCGCCCGTACGAGTGAGGAGGAAGGAGGATATAAATATAAGAACAATGCTATACTAGTTGCACAGGCGCCACGTCAAAACAAACTGAAGACGAGGAAGAAGACCAAAAAGCGTGTGAGAGAGAGGTGGGTTGATGTTGATGTCGTTGTCGTCGTCGTGGGCGGGTCCGGGGATGAATCGGGGGGAAACGGGAGTAGGTGGGGGAAGAGTGGAATAGATGAAGCGTTCCGTGCAGGCCTGGAGCTGCTTTAGAACAGAAGGCACTTCTTCTTCTTTCCGCCGCTGTCGCCATCTGAATAATGAGACACACGAGCAGGACCACCTTCGAGCGTGAGCAAGATGAACGACAACAACAACACAACACACGACAACACACGACACGAAGGAGTGGGTACCGGGCTTCTTGTTCCTGTTGATCTGTCTGATGAGATCGTAGAAGATTTCGCTCACGTTGGTCTTCGTCTTGGCGGACGACTCGAGGAAGGAGCAGTTGCCGAACTTGGCGGCCAGCTGCTGGCCCTGGTCGGTGGAGATCACCCTCTGGTCCTGCAAATCGCACTTGTTGCCGACCAGCACCATGGGCACGGAGTCCATGTCCTTCACACGCAGGATCTGCTCGCGCAGGTCGGGCAGGTCGTTGAATCTGTTGTTGTTGTTGTTGTTGTTGTTGTTGTTGTGTCGGAGTCAAGGAGAAAACAGTCAGTTGTTGAAAGACGTGCAGCCAAAGGAAAAGAAGAGCGAACGCGCAGAAACGAAAAGAGCAAAACGTGTGAAATAATCAGTTTGGATAAGCATCAACATTGTAGAGGTATTGAAAAATAGCCTCTTCTGCGACCTTGAAATACCATCATGTGAAGAAAGAACGAAAAACGGCCCAGAGGGAAAGAAAAAGAAGAAGGCGAAGACGTACGTGGAGATGGCAATGATGGAGAATACAAGGACGAAGCCCTGGCCGTTCTTCATGTACAAGTCGCGCATACTGCACACCACGAGCAGAAGCGTGAATGCGAGATCGACGTGCATACCACAAATTCCAGCGCCACCAGTTGCGGAATTTCCCAACTGTTGCGAGTGGAATGTGAGGAATGGCAAGCGTACGCGGTGAACTGCTCGGTACCGGCCGTGTCGAGGATTTCAAGCATGACCTGCTTGCCATCGACCTCCACCTGCTTTCTATAGTTGTTGGGCGAGGAGAGGAAGCGACAAGTGGATGATTGTGTCAGAAAATGAGTCAAAGCTGAGCAAAATCTAAACATTTGAGATGGTTGCCAAGGAGATGGCGCTGAATGAATGGGATCAAAAACGTAGCGTGCCACATTACGAAATGGAGGAGAAA